CTATTCCAAATGCATACCTTTGCATCAATGAGAAGCACATTTTTTATGGAAATTGATGACAAAGGGGGAGAGATTGTACAAAGATATAAAAGCTTTGAGATTATGATTATACAAGGGGGAGAGATAAGATATGAAAGCTTTGGGAGAGATTGAAACAAAGAAGTAGAGGTTGGACATGAACATGGACAAAGAGGGACCAACATTGAAGAAAAGAGATGGATCAAAATTCTTAGACAAGAGAAGCACACAAGTAGGGGGAGCAAGCTCATGAACTTTGATTGATTGCATTTGATATGTGCATATTCATGTGCTTGCTTGCATTGCATAAGTTCTTAAATTCAATATGCATGCTTGTGTGATGTATGCTAGTTGTAAAATTTGATTGATAAAATAAAAACTAGCATGCATAGGATGATAGCTAGACACTTGGTATGTTTTTCAAGTAATGCTAGTACCTTGCTTAAATGTTGATCTCACAAGGTATCTAGTGCTTTTTATTTTTCCAAGTGTTATCTAGCTAACCATGGTGCTAAGGATGAACTTAAAGGTGCAACTCCGATTGGTATCATACTTCAAAGGTTTACTCTATACACCTTAGCATCATTTGGTAGTAATTAATCTCCCACATTTTCAATCTATGCATATGTGCGAGCTTCAAATCAAACACTCTAGCACATATGTAGGGGGAGCTAATACTACCATTTTGGGTTTGTGGTACTTGTCCAAAATCATTTACACATGGTAAAATTGCTTGAGGAAGCAACATGAATCCAAAAGAGCTTAATTTCTATATCTTTGTAGAGTTGTCATCAATTACCAAAAAGGGGAAGATTGAAAGGTCCTTGTGTGGTTTTGATAATTGAGTGACAACCTAGGTGGACTAATTGTGTTTATGTGAGATACATAGGTGATTAGTCCACAGGTATATGTGTGTGAGCAATATATGCCATGAAGGTGAAAATGGCTTGGAGATGTTGCAAAGCTCACACATGTGATGATGAAGGAGCTCATTGCAAATGAGACATGACATTGAATCATGTGATCAAGGTGGAGAAGATCAAGACATGACTTGGCTTGATGGACCGGTTGCAAGCGTGAAGGGCAAGTTGGAGGCTTTGGAGTGATGGACCACGTGGTGGTAAGCTTAAGCAAGACTTGGCGCTGATGGACGAAGGCAACGGTGAAAAGCAAGTGAAGTCCAGATCGATGAACCAATATGATCACATGATGATATGAAGTGGATCATATCATTGTTGATCATGTTGGTGGATGTGTTGCATCGACATTGGAGGAGATGGAATGGAATGCGCAAGGCAAAGGTATAACCTAGGGCATTTCATTTCACCGGTCATAGGTTGATGACCGGGTTTAGTATAGATGGTCGTACTATCAAGAGGGGCAAACTTGTTTGCATATCGGCCATCTAGTGCCACTTGAGTGATCTAACTTTGCATCGTCACTAGGATTGAGTGACGTGGCAAGTTGAGTGGCTAATCCTTTGGAAAATGATTGTGAAAATGCTAACACACATACACATGGTGGTGTACACTTGGTGGTGTTGGCACATTTACAAAGGAGATGAAGTTGGAGTTGATGTGGATCAACTCGGTGATGGAATGGAGGCGAGAAAGGTTCGAAACTCCACCGGCGGAGTGTTTGACGGTGCCACCGGCGTCCTATATAGAAAATACAGGGTGTCACAGTGTGCACCGGACGCTGGTCATGTAGTGACCGGACGCTGGGGTCCTGTGTCCGGTCAGTGACAGCAGTGAGCGCATGGCCTCGGTTGCGTCACCGGACGCTAGCGCGAAGAGTGACCGGATGCTCAGGGGCTGCGTCCGGTCAGTGCTGACGTATGGTGGCATAGGCGGCGCTGGAGTTAGGCGCGCGGGCGCAGAACTGGTCGGACGCTGGTCTGCGTCCGGTCATGGTGGACCGGACGCGTTCGGTCGCAAAACAGAGGCTCGGGGAGCTCTCTAGAAACGACCGAACTTAGGCGCAGCAGCGTCCGGTCATTCACTGTGCAGCATCCAGTCGCAACTTAACTGTTGAGATCAGGTAGCTCTGGTTGAACGCAGAGTGTCAAGTGGACGGCGTAGAGTGACCGAACGCTGGCAGGGTGCGTCCGGTCGATCTGACCGGAGCGTCCGGTCATTCTGAAATTTGCCCAGTGAAGGGGTAACGGCTAGTTTAGCCCATGGGGCTATAAATAGAAGGTGGTCTCGGCCATGGCTTGAGCTAAGCACCTCAGGGGACTTTGTGTCCATGCTTGAGAGTGCTTGGGAGCCCTCCATCTCATATATGCTTGACAGTGATCATCCGATTATGTGAGAGAGTGATTCTAGTGCGATTGCATCGTGAGGTTGCATCGAGTGGCACTAGATAATAGAGTTGCAAGCCGATGGTGCTTGTTACTCTTGGAGGTTGCCACCTCCTAGACGGCTTGGTGGTGGTCTCCGTCGAAGACCGCAAGAAGTTTGTGTGGTGCTCTAGAGAAGAGCTTCGTGAGGGGCATTATGCTCGCCCCGGGGGAGCCACGAAGAGCAACTCTAGTTGAGCGTGTCATTGAGCTACCCTCACTTTCGGAGTAGGTTCTTACGGTGCCCGACGTGCGGACTTGGCGGGTGATGCCAATTAGCCACCGAACCACCAAGTGAGCGGTCGACACAACGGTGACGTAGCGTGTTGGCAAGCACATGAACCTCGAGAGAAAATCACCGTGTCAACCTTGTTCTTCCCGTTGGTTTGCAATCCCTTTACACAAGCTTGTGATTACTTTTATATACATTGTGCTTGTGTAGTTGCTCTTGTAATTAGTTAGCTTGTGTAGCTCACTAGTTACCTTCTTGCTTGTGTAGCATAGAAGTAGCTCCCTTGCGTGGCTAATTTGGTTTGTGTAACCTTATTAGTCACATTGCTTAGTTTATGTAGCTAAGTATTTGCGCTCTCTAATTTAGCATTGGTTGCCTTGTTATTGAGCATTGCTAGTGAGCTTAGCTGGCTTTATGCTTTTGCTTACTAGCGTGTATATGAGCTCCCTCATTGCTTGAAGTACTAGTGACATAGGTTTGTGTGACCTTACTCCTAGAATTGGTTATGTGAGCTCTAACTAGCCCGACACCTTTGTTGCTTAATTAGGATCTTAGCGAGGTGCTAGAGAACATAGATAGAGGGATATAGTCTTGGTTATACCGATAGTTTTAATTCCACACTTGTTTCAGTTAGTTAATGGCGATTATATTTTAGAAATGACTATTCATCCCCTCTCTAGTCGCCATCTCGACCCTACAGAGGGGTGATTTTAATTGCTGCAAGAGGTGGTTACAAACCTCCTGGTGCTGCCACAAACTTGACAAGCTCACTGGGCGACGCTTTAGCCAGCTAGGAGCCAAGCTCCAAGAGTAACAAACACAACCATCGGCTAAGACATGAACCAAGTGCTCTTTAGAGTTTAGGAATCATTGAAGTTGCTCTCTATTCGAGTTTTGGACCCTTTTTCCTCTAGGATTGATGGAGAAATCAATAGATTTGCTTGGGGGCTTGAGGTCAACAATGGAGTGAGAGAGAGAGAGAGCTCCTGCTCTGTTTTGGCGTGCTAAAGTGAGGAAGAAAAGAGACGGTTGGTTACCGTTGGAAAGGAAGGGGAAATGTATATATAACCCCCAGCCCTCAACGGTCACTGCACCCAAGAGATCGGGCGAGACGAGGACGCGACCAAAGGGTCGGACAAGCCGAAGCCCGTGACCTAGGGGTCGGGTGAGATGGAGCCCGCGATCAAATGGTCGGGTGATCCGGAGCCCGTGACCTTAGGGTTAGGCAAGATGGAGCCCGCGACCAAAAGGTCGGTTGATTCGGAGCCCGCGACCTTAGGGTTAGGCAAGACGGAGCCTGCGACCAAAAGGTCGGACGAGCCGGAGCCCGTGACTTTGGGGTCGGGCGAGATGGAGCCTGCGCCCAAGGGGTTGGACGAGCCGGAGCTCGCACCTAAGAGGTCGGGCGAGTCGGAGCTCGCACCATGCAAGACAGCAAGTGTAATAGTGAAGTGCAAACTCTGTTGACTATGAATCCGATGATGCTTGTGGTTGTTTGAGCACTTGGTAGCACATATTATCTTAAGCATTGTGTCCCCCTTTATAGTACGGCTTTTCCTATACTAAAACTCAATATATAAAAGAATTTAAACCTTCTTTGAGTTTGAAGCCATCTACATTTATTATTGGGGACTTCTCCGTTCTATGTAGCATCCTCGAATTTTAATTTCCTGCTTGTTATCTTGATAAATCTCATTAGTTCTCTAATTGCGTTATCATTATCATCAAAACCCACAATTAAGGCTTGATTACACTTTCAATGTTCACGTAATATACATGTGTGATATATTTAGTGATGTTCGTGTAGTGTTAATGTGATGTTCTACGATGTATTCTGTGATGTTTGGTAACATTTTTTTTATTTTTATTCGACTATAATTAATTACTTCACTAATTTAATTTTTATTTTTATATTTCATGATATATATATATGATGTTCGCATAATATACATAGGATGTTCTATGCTATTTTCTACGATGTTCGTGTAGTGTTGATGTTATGTTCGACGATTATCTTTAAATACAGGTTCATTATGAGATAAATGATCGTTAATTTTTTTTATCGAAATATATCCATGTGGAATCTTGTTTTGAAGAGTTTATTGCAAGGAACACGATGGTGCAATCGGATTTTAATTAGGATATTTGGTTTAGGAGATATGACTTTTTTTTACCTAAAAAGTATGGGATATGTGCTGATGTCAGCAATTTCGGCTTCTAGTGTATGTCTGTTGTATAGTCTGCTATTTGGTCCAAGAATACAATTGAATTGGGTCCAATTTAATGCATAGGTGGGAGAAGAAATTATTTTTATTGAGGGGGGGGGGGCGGGGAGAAGGCCAGTGCCCCTGCCAACCAGGTCGGCAGCTAGGGCCCCTTTCTTTTCCCCCTTTCAAGTCTTCTTCTCCCATGGACATAAACAAAAGGCCCAATACAAATCAGGCAGGTCATAGGCTACTTCAAAGCCCAGGTCATAGGCTACTTCAAGCCCAACAAACACCAAAATCGCGCACATCGACCGGCCCAAGCTGCTTAACCCAACGACGCGCCTGCCCCCAGAAGGCCAGAACCGCTTTGCAGCGCGCCGTGCCGCTGCGCCTGCGCCCAGAGCAGAAGAAGCCGCCGCGGCGCCCGTGTCTGGCGGGCGCCACACCGCCCGCGCTGCGCGAGCTGTGGGCGGAGTCCCGGGACCTGCTGGGCCTCCCTTCCTCTTCTCTGGACACCGCCGCCGCCGCCGTGCCGCGCGTCGACCTGCCCCCGACGCCGCTCGCGTTCCTCCGCGACCACGTCTCCCCGGGCCGCCCGCTCCTCGTCTCCGCCGCGGCCACCCTCCACTGGCCCGCTGCGTCGCTCTGGCCCACCGCCTCCTACCTCACCGACGCGCTCCGCTCCACCGCCGTCTGCCTTCACCTCACCCCCGACGGCCGCGCCGACGCGCTTGCCTCGCACCCGCACCCACGGCACCCCGGATCGTCGAGGTGCTTTGCGTCCGCGCACGCCCGCCGCGTCGACTTCCCTACCGCGGTCCGGTATCAGGGGATCCGACCCGGCCGCCGCCCGCCGGCCTGGTAGCGTACGCGCAGCAGCAGGACTCCGCGGGGAATACTTATCAGGGGTGTGTGCTAGTTTTGCTTCCAGCAGGGCTTTAATGATGCAAGCAGGTATGTGAGATGATATAGTAGAGACTTCATTAGCCAAGAAAGCCTTCTTAATTAATCTACTAGAAGATTACTCGAAAATTCTAAGGACCCAGTTGGCCTCAAATCTATTGACCACTTGTAACTTATGGAAAAGCATATTCTGCAGTTTACATGGTTCTGTTATGCAATATTATGAATCACATAATTAGCCTCTGATAGAGATAGTGAAGGGTCAATAGGACAATAGGCACCATGAAACATCTACTCGGCATTGCTCTAACCAAACATCGAGAAGGCCTTGCATGTAACCATCAGAATTATAGTGGTCATTTCCCACTAGCTAAACCTAGTAAGTGTTAAGCTTACCTTACATTACAAACAAACATAGGGAGTAGAAAGTTAGACTACACTCTTAAAATCTTTATGCTACCAGTGAATCAGGAAGCAAAGGCTTACTGATTCAAAACCTACTCACAGCAACTGGTTGCCTCCGTGCCAGATTTGACAGAAGGTAGTTAAATCAGAGAGATGAGAGAACATAGTAAACCTCACCAGCAGGATATCCACAGTGTACTGCCGCTGGTTGAGCTGCCACACTGACAATTGGCAACTCTTCATCATCATTCATCAAGCACAAAGAGCACAACCATAACCAATTCAGCATATACGAATCATACAGTTCAAACTTTCGAACCCAGCAACAGAAGCACCCATCGGAAAGGAGCGCTGAACCATGCGGCCCTTGCTGGGGAGCCCGATACGGACGACGGTGCGGTCCGTAACCAGGGGAGACGAAGCTGTCCGCAGAGCGACAGAGCGGGCCCTCGCCGCCAGCGAGGGGCGGAGGGCAATGCATAAGCTGGACTGTGACGAAGGTGACTGGGATAGAGGGAGAACTGTAAACTGCTCCGGGAAGAGTTTTTGAGTGTTTATTAGATTAGAAGAATTAGATCGACTGTTAGGGCGAAGCATCAATGCAATAAATCTGCAAGACTGGAAATCACTTACTCAATATAATGGCTACAAAGAAAAGGATCGTCAGATTACCTTGTTCTGGAAGGTATGCTGTATTATTTGTGTAAATGCATTCAATAATGAATTATCTGTTTGCTGTACTGCTATGCATTTTGACCATTTTCTCTTCGTGTGTGCTCAATTTCTCATGGCAACATACCATTTCTCACTAAACTCTGTTAGATTTTGCCGAAAAACGCCAATCATTTCTGCAGATCGATTAGGTCTGTGCATGTGGTACATGTACCAGAGTTGTGGTCATAATCCTAATATAAATCTATGCGTTAATAGCATCATTCACTTATGAGACATAATTATGATTTTTTAAAAAATACATGGTGGTTGTAGAGAATTATGTGCTTCAAAGTATGGTACTATGTTCACTATGCTCTTCCAGGTTGGCTTTTGTTTCGCCTCTAGTGTGTCCTCATAGCAGTTCATGAATTTAGTTTGTTGTTTGTATATAGTTGTCTCTTCCGAGTTCCAACACATGTTACAGCCATTATGTCCTGTGTATGTTTCATGTGGCCTTATTTTTTTGTTGTCTTGGTTATCACAACCTTAAAATTATAGTGAACTTGAAGAGTGTGAATGGAGCCAAAAGCCCTTTTTTTGTGTGTAAAGGAAGTGAAATAGTCTCTTGTTTGTGTGTGTGGATTCTTTAAATGACAGTTTTTTTAAAAAAGGGCGTACCCAGTGCAGAGAGCTCCCGCTCTGTGCGGGGTTTGGGGAAGGGTGTCAGTGGCAAGCCTTACCCTCGCCTGTGCAATGCGAGGAGACCGCGACTCGAACCCGGGACCTTCCGGTCACATGCGGTAAGACTCTACCGCTTGCACCAGGCCCGCCCTTCCTTTAAATGACAGTTTTATCTGATCGAATTTCTATGAGGTTGATATTTAGTGTTATGTCGTGTTTAGTTGATCTTATGATGAGATGCGCTGGTTGGCCAAACCCACTATTTAAGGATTTTGATTTCATTGCCCTCAGGATTTGTAGTGGGCACATCATTGTGATGAGATCCTTTAGAAAATCTTTAAACTGATTGGTATGTGGGCTGTTTTTTTTTTAAAAAAAAATTGTTGTAATGCGAGTAAACAGGAGGGACAATAAGGTGTCTTTAATATTAAGGAGAGTGCTAGAGTGGGACAGTGGGTACTTTAACCCAAGACCTTAACCATTAGAATCTTGCACTCTACCATTAGGCCATGTCTGTGTATGTTTTAGCATCAATAGTACATGATTGTACCATCTTTCTGGCGTTCTGGAAGTCTGGAGCAAATAAACAACCACTGTTCTTAATTCATTTTGTAACTTTAGTTTTGTTACCTCATACAATCCTTGTTGATTCTTCTGTAAGTGAGATGAGAAAGATGAAACAACTTTTCTCAAGTTATTGCGGATTCATCTTGGGTGGAGCTTCCATCAAGAGGAACCAGGACGTGTACTGGTAAAAGTGACAATATATTGTGCTGCTTTAGTATTGTTTGACACACGGTTATCAAACAAAAGATGTCCCTTATTACCTTGTATGCATATCAGTTCAGAAATCTATATCTTTCTTATATAGAAGCTCCATTATGTGTTGGCAATCAGTTTTGTGCACGCTTGGATACTTATCTGTTGACACTGCAGGCTGTTGAGCGCATGTCAATCGAGAGACAGAGGCAGCTCCTCTTCTTCTGAACTTCAGTAAAGTATTTACCATCAGACTGATTTTGTGGGTTGTGCTCCAAACTCTACATATACAAGACATCCGATTCACCTGACCTCCCGTTTTCGCAGACCTGCTTCTATGGGTAGGCTAGTGCCACCCTACTGTCTCATTGAATCTGTTCCTAGAGCTTTTTGAGGAGGTAGCCCTGTTCGCTTGGCTGATAAGCCATGGCTGAAAGTACTGATGACTGATTTGTTGTGAAAGAAAAATATCGTTCGTTGGCTGAAAAAGTACGGCTTATAAGCCAAGCGAACATGTGTCTTTCTTTTTCTTTTGTATGTACAGTGAGTTAGTGTTCCGGGACTTTTATTTAATCTAATGCAGAAGGAATTGATTGAAAGCAGGTTCCTCTGTGTAGTCCAGCCGGCGGCAGTAATGTAATAACATGTGCTGAGTGCTGACACTCCGATTGCCAGTGAACGGCTGGTGGGCTATTCTAGTTGATCCGTTACCAAACCAAAGCATGCTATTGATTTTTTTAATCTAATTTTGATTTTGTGGAACTGGCATACTTTGGTCAGCTCTCTTGTAGCAGTAATCTGGCAGTTTTCAGCTGACTCTCAGACGTGTTTTGCTTGGGACTGAAGCTCATTTGAACCATTTGCAGATGTTTTCTGAGGAATGGATGGATCAAGGCTTCCCTGCCCGGTGCTGGGCATCTGAAACTGAAATTCTGAATGACAACCGTTTCTTGGTTGTGTTCTGGAATTCTGAATCACAACCATTTATTTTACCTCTTCGCAGCCGGAGGAAGCACGTTACTGACTGACATGCTGTCATGGACCATCATGGAGTACTCATGGACGTATGACTCCGCAATTATATATTAAAATATATAAATATTTATGCTAAGTAATTAGTATCATCGAAAAGATATTTTGTCGTTTTTAACAAATTTATTGGAAGATGTAAATATTACGCATATTTTCTACAAATCCCATGCGGAGGAGTACGTCCTAGAATCGCCATAGGCCCATGCCCGAGCCTACCAGTACCAGACGTCGGCAAATATAGCAGTCGGCACCGAAGCGGCTGCCGGGTGATGGAGACCATTGACAGAACAGGCTCACTAGTCACTACTGACGGATCCCATGAGCGTCCTATCCTAGAGATGTGAGATGCGCCGTTGAGGCTTTTTTTTTCTTCAGTGAGAGCTACGTATCATTATATGAGAGAAAAAAAAACGATCGTATACAATTATACCTCTAAAATAAAGTTTTTCTAACCAATAAAAACACACGTTCTGGATGAGACTTGACCAACACTCCAAGGCCAATATCAATGACGTAGAGTTTCATGAGCATTAAATAGATTGCTATATCAACTAGTTTGATGACGTGACACTATATTTACGAAGAGAGAGATGACAATCGTTTCATCCCCACTAAATGTTTTTATCCTGTTCGTTTGACTGTTTCTGTGGTTTATAAGCTGGATAATATTATTTTATTATGAAAGAAAAATCATATATCATAGCTGATAAACATGACTGATACGGTAAACGTTAGCAACGTTTCCCAGGCCTTGGAAAGAGCGTGAAACCCGCGCTGAGTCCGTATGGTTCTTCCGATCTGCTGCGGCGGGCAACCGGCGGCCTCCCCGGCTCCTCACCAACTCCCACCATCTCCCCTCGCCTCTCCCGTCTCATTTTTTTCCCTCTCCCGTCCATCCCACAGCAGATCAAGCTCGCTCCAGCGGCACAACGTCAGGCAGCTCCAGCTCGGCCTCGACCAGGCACAAAAGGGACACTCCGGCGACGGAGAGAAGCCACTCGCGAGTGCCGCGTGCAGGTGCTGCAGGGCACGCCTCTCCTACTCAGCTGCTCCGGCTGGAGATGCACTTCCGTCGTACTGTGGTTCCACTTCCATGGCCGCATCTTCCGTTGGTAGCGATCTGTTCAGACTGAATGATACTAGTACTAGTACTAACATAGCATCGAGTAGCTGAGGACTTGAGGTATTGCATTTGCCGGCTGATTTAGCATTACAAGCAGATTCTGAATCCGACACCTATTGCCTTGAAGATTCAGCGAGATGAATGATTGGTGAGTCAATGTGAGTAGTACTCTGAAACTACTGACAGGTTCTGAAAGTCTGAACCGTTTATTTGCCAACATGATTGTTGTAATATACTAATACTTAGATCAATATCATATGGCTACATAGTTCACACAACACATTTGATCACAACACTATGGAAGAATTAAATGCTACAACTAGCCTATAAAAGGCTAGGTCAGAAAAACAGTCGGATTTCACTGTTCCCAGATGAAAAAACTGTTTATGTTTTCATAAATTTCTACAGATTTGTCCAGATTTCTCAAAATTCCTCTCAGCTGAACAGGGCCAAAACAGTTAAGTAAAACTGTGCATTGTCAGGAGTTGTTTCATATTCTAGTTTCACATCTTGAAAATAGGGACATGAAACCATCCATTAAAACTAGCCTAACCGCCTACCTACCTTTTGGTTAGAGCTGGACCTAAGGTATCAAGCTTCGGTGCGCCGTTGAGACTGATGAGTTCATGAGCCCGGCATGACGATGACGACAGCCTGTTCGTTTGGCTGTGGCTTATCGTAAACGATCGTAAATTTTCAGTCGAAATAGTATTTTTCTCTCACACAAACCAGCCAGCAGTACTTCTTCACGAACCAGCAACGATACGAAACCAGCCAACCGAACAGGCTGATAATGCCAATGCCACGTGGTGTTGTGGAATGTTTGTAGGCCCGAGCTGCTCCTAGGGTGGACCGGCATTCTGCACTGCTGGTGCTGGCAGCTGCAAAGCTTTGCAAGTTTGCCGATGATACTGGCTCTATCTACGAAGATCATATTCATAACCATATAGAACCACACAATCCAGCGAACGTAACCAAAGAAGATGAAGGCCTTGTCTGATTGCAAGTTTTTTTACCCTATCTCTATCACATCAAATCTTTAACACATACATGGAGTATTAAATGTAGATAAAAAAATAACTAATTACACAATTTGATTGTAAATTACGAGACGAATCTTTTGAGCCTAGTTAAGCCATGGTTGGACAATAATTATCAAATACAAACGAAAGTGCTACAGTGCCAAATACTGATTCTTATAAGGTCGAAACATGCTTGATACCCGTACCCAACCTGCCATACTACCACAGCGGCAGACCCGAGAAATACTCCATACAATTCTCACATCCCGAGAAGTGAATCGGTTTGAACTTGACCAAAATTCTATAAAAAAAAGATAATAACATTCATGATACAAAATTAGTATCGGTTTGAACTTGACCAAAATTCTATAAAAAAAATAATAACATTCATGATACAAAATTAGTATCGTTGAATTAATCATGGAATATATTTTCATAATAAATTTATTTATAGACATAAATATTAATACTATTTAATATAAGCTTTGTTAAATTTAAACTATTTGATCGATACGATCTTATAATTGTATTTTTTTCCGGAAGCAGTAGATAGGGACGAGACACAAGAAGCGGCAGCGGCTGGCATGGGGCACCGCGCGCACCACCACAGGACACGACGCACATTTATTTAGCCCACGTCACTCGCAGTCCGCAGTCCGCACCGGACAGTCCACACGACAGCCCGAGAAGGAGAAGGCCAGTACGCCACGCGCGCACTCTAAGCCATCTCACTCCGATCCCCTGACCGCCGCTGCCTGCGCACGACCTCACTCGCTGGCCTTCTGGGGCTCCTCGGCGGCCGGCTCGGCCACGGCGGGCTCCTCGGCAGCTGGAGCAGGAGCAGCCTCCGGCCGGCTCGACAGCGGGCGCCGCCGCCTCCTCCTTCACCTCCTCAGCCGCCGCTGGCTCCGCCTCCTTTGGCGCCTCTTCCTCCGCCACCGCAGGTGCCGCCAGGATCTCCACCTTGACCTCGGCGTGGGCAGCCTCGTCATCCAGGATCAAGCCACCGGGGTCCACGACGTCAAAATTTCCACTACTTCCCCTCGTGGGTCGAGCTTTACCTCAGGCATTGGTGACGATCAGAAGGCTGATGACTACACCAAGGAGTGGCTACTGTAGTTGGCTATCTAGGGTCTAGAGCTAAGACTGGTCGAGCCGCAAGAGTGATCGATCGAGTTTCTCTCTCTCTCTCTCTCTCTCTCTCTCTCTATATATATATATATATATATATATATAAAAGAGGGCCGGCGGCGAGGTCAGAATGGGGAAAACACAAGGGCTTAGCTCTCCGCCGAATTTTTTATTTAAAAAAATCCCCCCTTGATAATGCAAGTTAGCAGTGTTGTTGAGGTACGTACTACTACTACGATGTGATTTTGGAATCCGGAGTAGGCCAGTAAATAACGTTATTATTATAGTAGGTTGCATCTATCCTACAGTTTTGTTTTCTTTTCTTCCGTCAGTACTGGTGTCGATTCGAACTTTGAAGTGGCCTGTTTGCATGCTGTTGTGATATGGGTGCACAACTGCACATCACAAAAAGCAACGGTTGCAGTGCAGTTGACAAACATGAGCACGGCTATGTCACGGCCATCATCGTGACATAGCTTTGTCCTCGGAATCGATGAAACGATGAGAATTAGAATTGCATCTCGAATCACCAAGGACAAGGCTATGTTACGACTTACGATGGGATAATTGGATCATGATACTCAACGTCTGAACCCTACCCCGTTGTCGCTGGCTGAACTGAAGGTAAGCAAAATAGATATTACCTTGGAAACAATTTGCATTCCAATTCATTTTATAATAATCGAACTCCGCGTCGTGCATGGACACGCTGATTTAAAGACCTGTTTAATACAGTTCATCTTCACTAGTGAAGCAGATTTTTTATTTTGGTTCCATAAAGCAGCTTCAAAGTGAAGGTAAAGCTATTTTCAACAAATATTTGATAAAACAACTTCTCAGGAAAGATAGCAGAAGGAGAGCTAGGAGAAGCTAATATTTTCGGCTATGCTTGGGGAACTGTGCATGTGAGAGATGTTGAAAACTTAGGGAGAAGCTGTTTCATTAGATCCTGTTTGATGGGAGATGTTGTTTCATCAGATCCTGTTTGATAGGAGAAGCGGAAAAACAACTTTACGAAGCTAGGAATCCCTACCAAACAGGCGTTAACTTGTACAATCACGAGAGAGATGGAGTCCGTAGAATCTCCATCAGACAGTTGTAAGAGATGAATGACGAAGATGCCTTTCATTCTTTAATACTAAAGATAGATATTAGATATGGGCTTTGCTACGGACCACGAGCCATTCATTTATTTGGATTAAAATTTTACGATCACCTATAAAGTAATAGATGAAAATATGAAATATATTTATTTATTTTTTATATTTTATAAAATAGGACAAATAAGGAAATTTTTAGATATAAAATTTCTAGATTTGATTGATGCCTGTGTGATCTGACTCTGACTTATATGGTACATCTTTTTTATTTTATAGCTTTATACTTTTTTTAGATAATGACTTTGTACTTGATATATTTTGATTAGCATATAATTTTGTATGTAACTTTATACGCTTGATTTTGTACGTGATTAGCGTGTGTGCGTGGTTAGCCTGTGTAGTGGTTAGCGTGTGTGTACAGTGTACGTGGTTAGCCTGAAGCGTAGTGGACTAGTGGTTAGCGTGTGTACATGGCTAATATAACATGTGTGTGCGTGGATAGCGTGTGTTGCAGGGAGTGGGTAACTGATTAATGTGTGCAACATATGCATGTAACATATCACTGTTTTATAATTTTTGGTGGCGTGTTAGCATGATTTGCATACCGTTTTAGGGTGTGATACGTATAGCGTGTTAGATGAGTGTGGGTAACATGAGTGGATAACATGTTAGTGCAGATAACGTTTTATTGATTGTAACTTTTGGATCTGATAAGCCTTTTGACACATATAATGTGTCATGTACCGGACGCCAGCCCGCCCGCTCAACCGCTTCCGTGCCACATGCCGTCGGGATCCCGCGCTGCTGCTCGCACAGAGAGAGAAAGGAATCCGCAAAGTTTCACCGTGATTATAGGAATATATCAGTACGGATGTTTTCGAGGAAGAAGGATTCCCCATGATTTTTTTCTCCCGTCATTAGAGGAATGCGGAGGGATTAATTTGTTTTTTCTATATTTTTTTATTCCTTAGCATTGCCCGATAGATATAGATTATTAAAAAAAACTTTGATTAGTTCATTAAACGAGTTCTGAGTCAAGACGAAGGTCCCTGTCCCCAACGACTCATGCATTTTTACTAATCCTGTTACGGGGACGACACTAAATTCATCTTTTTTTCCCCTTACCAAGGAAGGATTTTATTAATTCATAATTGTTACATTGAATTGATACAATAATTACAAATCTACTTTTGGTCTCCGCATAGAAGTACAGTAAAAAAATAAGAGTTTGTCACTCTAATGACTATCAACCCTAAAACTAGATCACTAAATCGTCACCTATGTACTCGGGTGAAAAAACATTGTGACCGCCTAGGCCAATTGTTGTGATGCCACTGCAACCAAAGCCTCCGAAATAAGCTTCCAATCCATGAGCGGAGCCAATGATAATAGAATGTAGCACATGTAAAGAAGAACAAGCATGCTTCTTTTCAAAATACCAAATCATTTTTTATAACCAAACGACCAACGGATAGCTGCAGCTCCCAATAGAACTAAAAACTTTAAAACACAACCCAACTCCAGAAGATATGAAAAATGAGATCTTTTACGATGGTCGGAAAAGTACCTCGGTACCTCTAGGTTCTTTTATCTTTTTCTATTTTTATTTTCTAAATAATTAATTGACAAATATATTATAGAGGGTATTTTAGTCATTTATATAGTAATCGGTGCCGTTGATTGGCGCGTCGCTCCGCTCTCCCGCCGCGCCGCTCTCCGCCTAGCCCCAACCCTCCTAGGCGCGATGGCACGAGAGGAGCGAGCGGATGGTGGTGGCCCATGCGCGGACGAGCGGGCGGCACGAACGATGAGCGGTGCACGGCACGGACGAGCGCCTGATGCTCTGTCGCAATCCCGGAGGAACTCACATGCCAGCAGCGGGCGAAAATCAAGCATGCCTTGAGGACGGTACCGCCGGCTGCTAGCGATCCATGTCTCAGCGGCGCCTCTCGCCATCTCCTCTGCTAAATGCGAGCGTCTGCCCTTCCGTGTCCACCAGCGCCTCCTCCGAGGATTCCCACAGCAGCGTTTCCTCGCCCGCGTCGTCCACGAACGCGGCGTCCTTCCCGGACAGCAGCTCGAGCAGGATGCCCCCGAACACGCCAACCTTGGGCGTGATGAGGCTGTTTTTGAGGCACTCGGGGGTGAGGTATCCCTGCGTGCCAACGACGTGGTGCGTGAGCTGCGCGCCGCCGTCGGCCGCGGTGACCGCGCACGCCAGCTCGAAGCTGGACATCTTGGCGCACGTATAGCGGATTAGTGTAGTACTCTAGTGTTAGAGGTAGCTGGGCCCGCCGGCAACGTCGACCCTGCACGCGCTGCCTCCGCGTTGTTGCCGCCGGCGCCATGCAGCCAGCCACTGAGCACGGCGTTCTCCGTGAATCGAAGACAGTCCTGCGCCTGCAACCTTCGCGCGTTGCGAAAAACTAATGTGCTAGCCTATCTTGATGGGGGCCTCCAGCGTGGAGAAGAAAGAAGAAAGAGAGACTGAGATGGGCAGACGGAGATGACATGGGAAATCCCATTTTTGTCATTAAATGACAATACTAAATTGACTGATTTATCCTTATTCGAAAATAAAATATGAAATGAAAAATAGATCTTGTCCCCACATATTTATGAATATCTCTTATTTTTCACCGTCCGATCTTATCCAATAGATGGTCCATGTTTTTCCAACCATTATAAAATTTCTCATAAAAAATACTATAAGGTCGATGATAGCTTAAAGGAACTTATATGTACATAACCCCAAACTATAAGGACAAAGCATGTTCGCTTGCTCTTATACGATCGTGGATTATAAGTTAGAATAGTAATTTTTTTCTCATACCAAATCAGTCAACAGTAAATAATCCACGATCATTTACGACGAAACGAACAGGTTGATAGCATTCAAAGAGATACGTAATCGTCTCCCTTTTTTTTTTGGCAAAGCAACACGCACTGCTGCCTTACCAATTGCATTTAGCTTGTCAGTTGTGTTTAGCTAAATATCATTTTATTGGTAGAATAACTTCTCTGTCAATATACACACTCATCTTTCTTGAGAGGAAATTAAAGACGAGAAGACATTTGTGAAGGTCGACATGCAGCGCTACTGACAAGGGACAGGCCAGGCCCGTATTGGCGATCTCGATGACTTGTTCAGCGATAACCCTCGAAGCGACGGTTTGAAGTGGACGCAGCAGCATTTTTTAAGCACCATGTGGTACACGTTGAATCGGTGTTGCTCCAAATAATTTGTTTCATTATTCCCCGCGAACTTGATTTCGTAGTTTCAGCTCCAACAGGTAACAACCATTCGAGAAAAAAAAGAGAGAGACAACAACAGCTTTTATGAACAATATAGCACGTCAGCTGGAGTCCGGAGACGTGAAGCGATGTCCCAGGGAGGAGGCATCGCCTCCGTTAGCTCGAACTACCTTGACAGTATTTTTTTACGGATAAATAATATTTTTTTCTCACAATAAATTAGCATAAATATTATTCGGTCTCGGCTCTTGCGAAAACATAATCTAGACCTTGTTTAGTTTCTCCTCAAAAAGTTTACACCATATCCCATCAGATATTTAGACATATATATAGAGTATTAAATATAGACTGAAAAATAACTAATTACACAGATTACGACTACTTTGCGAGACGAATCTTTAAAGCCTAATTAGTCCATAATTTAACAATAAAGTGCTACAGTAACACATGCGCTAATGACGGATTAATTATGCTTAATAAATTCGTCTCACGTTTTTTTATTAGTATCCAAACACCCCATGCAATACCTCATGTGACATCCGATGCGACATCTCAAAACTTTACACCCTCGAACTAAACAAGGCCTATTCAGGTTCATGAAATTCGGTAGACGAGCGACAAAAAACCATTAATAGTGTTTTGTGGCTTATTTCGGCTGATCCGTAGGGTGTTCGGCTGATCCAGTTTGTGCCTTATTTCGGTTGATTTCGGCTGATTCAATAACGTTTTGTGAGAAGAAATAAGCTGAAACAAACTGAAACAAGTTGAGGCCAAAGGAAAAATAGGCCTCGCTCTGGTCTGCCAGCTGCAGCAGCCAGCAATAACAAGCGCCTTTGTAGTATCTAACTGTACTTCGTTTTTTACCTTTTTTTTAGGGCAGTGGCAGGTGCTCTCCCTTTTCATTATAGTTAAGAATTGAAACATGTACAATAATTAGATGGTTTCAAGTTGTTCAAGTTGACGTGTACAGAAGATAGTTTCAGTGACTTCATGTTTACTTGCCTCTGTTCTTCCCCACATGATGAGTTCTGAGACTTGCAATATGAAACTGATATATTCTGTAACAAGCATGCTTAGAGGTTGCACTTACAGAATTCATATATGCTGTTCCGACAGAATATACTCCATTGAAAATTATGAGCGTATTCAACTAGAGAAGCCTTCCCTTATCAAGCCTTGTTCTACCGTGCAGTTTAGCAAAAGGAAGGCCCAATCAGCAATCTACTGTGGACACAACAAAGCCCAGGTCAAAGGCTACGTCAAACTCGTCAAGCCCAACAAATCCCAAAAAACCGGGCACGTCTACCGGCCCAAGCTGCTTAACCCAACGACGTGCCTACCGCCAGAACCGCTTTGCGGCGCGTCGTGCGGTCGTGCCGCCGCCGCTGCGCCGCCGCCATCTGAATTCGCAAAACCAACGAGCAGTCAGAGCCAAAGCCGCCGCGGCGCCCGTGTTTGGCGGGCGCCACACCGAGCCAATGGAGCCCGCGCTACACGAGCTGTGGGCGGAGTCTCGGGACCTGCTAGGCCTCCCTTCCCCTTCTCTGGACGACACAGCCGCCGCCGCCGCGCCGCGCGTCGACCTGCCCCCGACGCCGCTCGCGTTCCTCCGCGACCATGTCTCCCCGGGCCACCCGCTCCTCGTCTCCGCTACGTCGCTCTGGCCCGCCACCTCCTACCTCACCGACGCGCTCCGCTTCACCGTCGTGTCCCTCCACCTCACCCCCGATGGCCGCGCCGACGCGCTTGCCTCGCACCCGCGGCGCCCCGGATCCTCGAGGTGCTTTGCGTCCGTGCACGTCCGCCGCGTCGACTTCCCTACCGCGGTCCGGCTTATCAGGGGATCCGACCCGGTCGTCGGCCTAGCAGCGTACGCGCAGCAGCAGACGACTGCCTCCGTGGGGAGTACGCGGCGGTCGCCGGTGACGTGGATGCGCACGTGCCCTGGGCCAGCGAGGCGCTCGGCTGCCTCCCCGAGGCCGTCAACCTCTGGATCGGCAACGCCCACTCCATCACCTCCTTCCATAAGGACCACTACGACAACATTTACGTCGTTGTCTCCGGTGAGAAGCACTTCCTCCTCCTGCCCCCGACAGAGCACCACCGCCTCTACGTCCGCAACTACCCCGCCGCCCACTACGTTGCCGCGGAGCAGGACTCCGAAGGGGAGCGTCAGTTGAGGCTTAAGCTAGAGATGGAAGAGCCCGAGAGGATCGTGCCGTGGAGCAGCGTTGACCCGTGCTCGGCATCGCCGGAGGAGATGGCCGTGCAGGCGTCTTCGTTCCCGCTCTAATTTGACGGGCCGGTGAGATGCTCTTGTTAGCGCTGTAGGATCACTAGGATGATAGATCTAGCTGGTAGAGTGATTCTATTCGGGATAAAGGGCACAATTCATCCTAATACATGTAGGACTAAAGAGACAGAGGGAAGGGAGAAGGTGTTGAACCTGACACCGTAGAGGGGGAGGGTTCAGAGGACGCCATCACATTCGTTGGTGTAGTCTGCGCACGGGCACCGATGGTCGATGAAGAGAGCGATGAAGACGTCGATGGAGTGGGCGGCGCGGCTAGTGGCTTCCCGTCACTGGTTGCGCCCCTCTCTAATCGGATTAGGGTTTAGATGTCGGTTGGGAGCTCGGCTCAGGTTAACCTCATGATTAGAGCTGTCAGCCCCCACCTCTTTTTATAGCGCAGTGTGATAGGGGCCCTCCAGCCATGGTGGGCTGGGCGCCCCTGATCAGGGTGCGAATCAAAGGCCCAACTGGACCGTTGGGTTCAGTTAGGATTAGAGATCAATCTAACAATCTCCCCCTTGATCTCTTTCCATCTTTTACTTTCATATCATTTACTTTTGTTCATTCCATTACAGATTAGCGCATAGAGCATGTCTCATCGTCACGGTCCATTGCCAATAGATTTAACAGCTACAATACACCACTCTGTTCTGAAATAGATACTTATCTTTGGGCCTTCTTTTGTCCAGGACTTATAGGCTTTTCCTTAAACCCATGCCGACTATATGTTCTCTGAACACGTTGGGTGGTAAGCCTTTTGTAAATGGATCCGCGAGCATCTTTTCGGTACTTATATGCTCAAGACTTATGACTTGATCCCGGACTTTATCTTTCACAACTTAATACTTTATGTCAATGTGTTTGGCAGCACCACTTGACTTATTGTTGTGAGCATACTGTACTGCAGGATTATTATCGCAGTATAACTTAAGTGGTCTATAGATATCGTCAACCACCTTCAAACCGGGTATGAACTTCTTTAGCCAGTTCACCTACCCCGTTGCCTCATAACACGCTATAAACTCGGCATACATTGTGGACGATGTAGTGACAGTTTGCTTTGAGCTTTTCCATGAAATAGCCCCCCCTGCGAGAGTGAATACATATCCAGACATGAATTTTCTATCATCTCCCGCATAATCAGAATCTGAATATCCCACTATATAGAGTGAATCAGATCTTCTATACGTCATCATGAGGCCTTTTGTTCCTTGCAAATAACGCAAGACTTTCTTTACCAATTTCCAGTGTTCTGTTCCAGGATTGCTCTGGAATCTACCAAGTAACCTGATAGCAAATGCCAAGTCAGGGCGCGTGCATACTTGAGCATATTGCAAGCTTCGACAGCTGAAGCATATGGAACCGTTTTCATTTGATCGATCTCATATTGGTTCCTGGGGCATTGAAAATCCCCCATATCTATCGCCCTTGACTATAGGAGCAGGTGAGGGACTACATTTGTGCATACTGAATTTCTTTAAGACTTTTTCTATGTATGCCTTTTGTGACAGTCCTAATACCCCTTTACTTCTATCTCGGTGAATCTCGATCCCTAGAACGAACGAAGCTTCACCAAGATCTTTCATATTAAATTTTGAGGACAAAAACTTCTTTGTCTCTAGTAGTAGACTGACATCACTACTAGCAAGTAAGATATCATCCACATACAGGATAAGGAAGATAAACTTCTCATTCTTAAACTTTGTATAGACACAATTGTCCTCTATATTCTCTTTAAATCCAAAATTCCTTATTGTCTGATCAAACTTCAAGTACCACTGAAGCTTGTTTTAATCCATAAATGGATTTCTTTAGGCGGCATCCCATTCATTCTTTTCCTTCTATGACAAAACCTTTCGGTTGTGCCATGTAAACACTTTCTTCCAAGTCCCCGTTGAGAAATGTCGTCTTTACATCCATCTGATGCAATTCTAAATCGTAATATGCCACTAATGCCATTATGATTCTGAAGGAATCCTTACATGAGACTGGAGAAAAGGTCTCATTGTAATCAATCCCTTCTCTTTACATAAAGCCTTTTGCCACAAGTCGTGCTTTATATCTCTCTATATTTCCTTGAGAGTCAAGTTTTGTTTTGTAGACCCATTTACAGCCTACTGTTTTGACTCCTTTAGGAATTATCTCTAAATCCCAAACTTTATTGGCATTCATAGATTTTATTTCATCTTCCATGGCCTCAAGCCACTTTGATGAATGACACTTCTCATGGTTTCTTCAAATAAGGTGGGATCATCCTCCATTTGAAATTCCTCAGTGTTGTACACTTCATAATCAGCAGGAATAGCTGATTTTCTAACTCTTTGAGACCTTCTAGGGGCCTCCACATTTGACACATCTTCTGTTTGAGGCTGTTGTTGCTCCCCCTCATTTGTGACAATAGGTTCTACAGGATCCTGAAGAACAGATTTCTCATCATCATTCATTGTTGCCACAGGCGGAATAACAACAGGTGCTGACACCACAGTATCTTGCACTGTCGGTGCAGCAATAGCATGCAGTGAGAAAAATGGCTCATAAATCATCGGAGTGGGCGCATACACCCGCTTCTCTTCGAGGTCAATTTCTCGAGCTACCATGCTCTCCATCATCATTTCATCCTCTAGGAAGACTGCGTGTCTCATTTCCACAAATTTTGTATGTCTATCTGGACAGTAGAAACGAAAACCTTTGACTTTTCTAGGTAGCTAATGAAATGGTAACTCACTGTTTTGGGATCTAGCTTCCTAATATTTGGGTTAAATACTTTAGCCTCAGCAGGACTCCCTCCACATGTAAGTGGTTTAGTGAGGGTACTATTTTTGTCCACAACTCATACGGTGTTTTGGGCATCGACTTACTTGGTACTCTATTGAGAATATGAATGACGGTTTTTAACGCCTCCATCCATAGGCTCATCGGTAAGGTGGAGTAACTTATCATACTGCGCACCATATCTATCAGGGTACGATTACGCCTTTCAGCTACTCCATTCTGTTGAGGTTCGCCCGATGTAGAATACTAGGCTACTATACCATTCTCCTATAAGAACCTTGCAAAAGGTCCAGGAACTTGGCCATATGGGGTATGCCGACCGTAGTACTTTCCCCCCACGGTCGGACCTGATTATCTTAATCTTTAAATTGTGTTGGTTTTCAACTTCTGCCTTAAATATCTTAAATTTATACAATATTTCTGTTCTTTCTTTGATTGGATAAATGTAGCCATAACGGGAGTAATCATCTGTGAATGTTATGAATGAATCATAACCATCCACACTCTTTATAGGAAACGGACCACAGATGTCTGTGTGAATAATCTGTAGAATTCCTGTGCTTCATTTGGCATCTTTCTTAATTTTCTTTACATACTTTTCTTTAATGCATTCTCTGTGTTGTTCTAAATTTGAGAGCTCTAATGAAGGAAGAATATCATTCTTAACTAGTTTTTCTATTCTCCCCCTCGAAATATGACCTAAACGACAGTGCCATAATTTTGACAATGCATCGTGAGCTCTCTTTCGTTTTTCTGTTTACATCCGCAGATGAGGATACATTCACATTGTCGCACATAACGTTCTCATCATCGCATACAACATTCACATCATCACATAGTGATAACAAATAAAGCTCATTTTGTAAGATAGCAAGACCAACACATACATTATTTAATGTTATCTTACATTTATCATTTCCAAAATAACAATCATATCCATCATTGTCCAAACATGAAACACTAATCAAGTTCCTCTATAACGAGGGAACATAAAGAACATCTCTAGGTATAAGTTTGAAACTATCAGCAAGCTCTAGAGAAAGATCGCCAACGGCTTCAACTTCTGCTCGGACTCCATTTGCAACTTTAACGTGTCTTTCGCTTCTTTGCGTAGTCATCGTCGAACAGAATCCCTGTAAAGAATTAGCAACATGAACAGTTGCACCTTAGTTAATCTACCAAGTAGATTTTGAATACTGTACATATAGGGATTCATTTATGAATGTAATAATGTTCTCACCTTTCTTTGCCATGATCATCTTTAAGTAATCGGGACAATCTTTCTTATAATATCCTGTCTTCTTACAATAGAGACACTGGTCTTTCTCTACTGTGAACTTGTTCTGCTGAGGCTGATGCAGCATGGGACCCTTTCCCTTTGACTTTGAGGAGAAGTTAGCATTAGTATTCTTTTTCTTATTGTCTTTCAAATAATTGATAGAGCCATCATTGGCAGCTTTCATTCTCTCCTCCTCTTGCACACACATAGCTATGAGCCTCTCCATGTCTCACTTCTTGGGCTGTATGTTGTAGTTGACAACAAAAGTGTCAAACTCTTTTGACAAGGAAGCAAAAATTAGATGGATAAGGAACTCATCATTGAGAGCCAGATCCATTGGTTTTAGCTTGGATGCCAAATTACTCATCCTTAGTATGTGCTTTCTTATGCCACCATTATTAGAGTACCTCTCTGTCACCAGCTACTTTATCAGTTGGGTAGCATATGTCTTTGAAGAGTCAGTGAACTGACTTTTTATTCTTTCGAGGTATTTGGTGACGGTGTCACACTCTGGGATTGAGCCCACAATTGCAGGCTCAATCATGTTCTTTATCATAGCCAAATATTTTTTGTTGACAGTGACCCACTTCCTATGCACAAGGTCATAGGACATCCTTTGGGATGCAAAATCCCTCTCTTTTGTTGCACAAGCGGCATCAGCCTCGTTTGTCTCCCTCACCAGTGCCACAGGCTCTGTGGGACATGGTGTGGTGACTACCCAGTCCACCTCAGCCAAGATGAAGGCTAGGTCAATCTTTTTCTTCCACTCCGTGTAGTTATCACCTTTGAGAGTAGGGATCTCTTTGATACAACCCATCAAGTTGTATCCGTCTGAAAACACAATTCATATAGAGTGAGAACATAAATAATAACAATAACAATTGTATGCCTTAGTTTCAACGTTGGTCAAAATTAAAACATACAATTGTTCTCTACACTAATTCTACATCATCGTTGGACAGAAATAGAATTAATGTATGACAAAACATCATAATATTGCCATTAATCAACGTTGGTCAGAATAATAACAATATTATAATCAATTAAAACATATCAATTTTCAAAATTAAATTCTCCCGTTGGTTCGAATTTAATAATGAAAATAATATCTTTAAATACGCAACGGAAAGCGTAAATATTCTTATTATTATTTTTCTAGAAACTTTATAGAACTTTACTTTTCTCTGAACAAAATTGTCGTTGGAACAAAATTGTGCAGAGTTGGACATCAAATTTCAATTGAAATTCATCAAATATGTATCAAAAATTTCTAGAAAAAAATAAAACGAAAAAAAATATTCTGTTTCACTGTGTTTGGCCATTTCGGCCCATAGCAGCAGAAGCGGCCCGCGGCCCACGCCCCCCGCGCGCTTCCCGCGCTCTCCCCGCGCCTAGGCCACAACCTGGGCCTGGGCCGGGAATTCGGCCTCGCGCCCTAGCCCGCCTGGGCCGAAAGGCAGCCCAATCAACCGGCGCCGTCCGTTCCGATCCAACGGCCGAGCGTCGATGGCGTAGGATCAAAACAACGACCGCAGCGGCTCCCTTGAAACCCTAGCAGCCATTCTGCTCCATCCTTTCTCTCTCTTCGCCTCTCTCCTCAGCGCAGCACAGCGGCAACCGAACAAGTCGAGCGGGCAAAACGGTGGAGCGATGGCGCCGTCGCCGGCCCCCTCGCCAGCGTGCGCACTCCCCAGCGGGTGAGCGCGCCGCCGTCGAGCGGCCTGGCTACGGCGCCCCTTTGGTCAGAGCCCGGCGAGAAGCGCCCTCGGCTCGGCCTTCTTTTCCCCGCGCGCCGGCGAGGCAGTAGCGCTGCGCTGCGGCGAGGTAGGCCTCCCCTTCCCTAACATCCCCTCTGATTTGCTGTTTCTGTTCTCGGATTCAACCGATTGGGGATACGGATCGAAGGAAGTTAGGGTTAGGGTTCCACTGTTCATCTTCCTCATGAAGTCTTCACGGGTTTAGGGTTTGGCTCTTACGTTCTTAAGGCCGAAACCCTCTTCTTTTTCTCCTTTCCTTAACCCAGTTAGGGTTAGGGTTCAATCGAACTCTCTGTTCTTGTTAGACCCACACTGGATCTAACCTTCTACTTTCTTTTCTAATCGGTTTACCCGTTCTAGATCTAAAAACCCTAGAAACCGATGGCTCTGATACCATTGTTAGCGCTGTAGGATCACTAGGATCATAGATCTAGCCGGTAGAGTGATTCTATTCGGGATAAAGGACGCAGTTCATCCTAATACATGTAGGACTAGAGAGACAGAGAGGGAAGGGAGAAGGTGTTGAACCTGACACCGCAGAGGGGGAGGGTTCAGAGGACGCCATCACGTTCGTTGGTGTAGTCTGCGCACGGGCAGCGACGGTCGATGAAGAGAGCGATGAAGACGTCGACATCGATGGAGCGGGCGGCGCGGCTGGTGGCTTTCCGTCACTAGCTACGCCCCTCTCTGATCGGATTAGGGTTTAGATGTCGGTGGGGAGCTCGGCTCAGGTCAACCTCGTGATTAGAGCCGTCGACCTCCACCTCTTTTTATAGCGCAGTGTGACAGGGGCCCTCCAGCCATGGTGGGCTGGGCGCCCCCGATCAGGTCACGAATAAAAAACCCAACTGGGTCATTGGGTCCATTTAGGATTAGAGATCAATCTACCTGCCAAGCATGTGGTTTCACCACGTCAGCCAGAGCCCAGGGCCGAACGGGCTCACCATTGCCGTGAACTACTGGTACGACATGCAGTTTGACATCAAGTATGCGTACTTCAACTTCTTGAGGTCGCTGGAGATCAATGGTTGTTCATCGGGCAAAGCTGGTGCTTTGGAAGATGATCTTGAGGAGAAGAAAGATTGAGATGGCGGACAGTGACTCTGATTACCCCTGGTTTCTGCTGAACATCATGATGCTGTGCCGGGCTGAGTTTCTTGCGGCCATTGTCTAACAGAGTAACAGCTCTTCGAGCATTACAAGTTGTTGCTGGACACATGGAAACCAACTAATCGGCCATGTATGTTTGTACAACATATGCAGGTGCCAATTGGCATATCAGGCTCAATATGGTTGCAACTAGAACATTTGATTTGGTGGTGCATTGTCAAATTTTGGTTGCATTCACAAAAGAGAACATGAATTTTGAATTGTGTCCATGTGTTCCTGATCCTCTCTGTTTCTGGTGATGATTCTTCGTATCCTGCAGGCCTGAGTTATAGCTTGTGCAAATTAGCATCATTATATTCACTGGAGGGATGGATTGTCTTTGTAGAAATCAGAATGTTAAGACCAGCTAAAGAACTGTGCAGGGTGGATAAAGAACATCATGGGTGAGACGCTAGCTTTACAGGTTGGATAAAATTGAGGTTGACAAGTGCTTAATTCATAAGGTTGAAAACCAAGATGAAGCTATATAGACAAGGGAGTTTCCGGCGTGGAAGAAGTGGGAGAGAGGGCAGAGTTTCTCTTTAGTCCATGTGTTGATGGTCCAGACTTCGTTGTTGTGAGAATCAGCAACCAAATCAATCTGGTTCCTGTGCTTGTTGTAGTTTGCCTTTGCTTATTTGGTTTGTTCTTCCGTATGAAAGTATGAATTCTTTCTTTTTGTATTTTTTTTTCGATAGGGTTCAGAGGCATTGACAAATGTTGGGTGTGCATTAGAGAAGCTCCACGTTCCTGCGGTGAACACATGATGCAGCACTCGGCAGCATTTAACCATGTAGTCTAAAGTCCAAAATTGATATTTGATTTCCTTTTTCTCTGTTGCAAATCATAACCGTGCAATACTGCTTATCTATTTTCATTTTTCATTTTCAAGGACCCGAGGGTCTTGATGGGATTTGCCATACTTGTGGCAAAAACTCGAAATCCCACCCCCAGTTAACTTGTGCGTTGCATTGCTTGTTATGCGTGACAGCATTTTCAAGCATGTCCTGAACTTTTGCTTCTTGTGACCGTTTTCAATGTTCCATGATGCCACTCTTGCTTTCAAGAAGCATTTGGAATTTTGAATTATCGAACTGCTCTAAGGTGTTCAACAACAATGCAGCGTGTGAGAACAGTGTGGCGTCCAAATGCCTCTTAAAACAGCAGAATACGAGGCATTAACATTGGGAATAACTGCAATAGCACTGCCAAAAAGTTTCACTAGCATTGCCGTACCAAGCATAAACCACCGAGTACTCGGAAGAGCTATCAAGGTTCACACCCAGAAGAAAATCTGAAGTACTCAGACACGAGATAAAGGTTCAACATCCAGCATAAAACATAAACTAGGACAAGACTTAACTTCAACGACTCTGATTATGACACTTTGGATGAAGCTTGATACTTGTCGCTGTGGTTGCTTTCTAATCATACTTATCAATACCATACTTGGAGACAAACTTGTGCTTTTCCCTCAACTGAAAATTGAAGAATGTTGGAAAAAATACATGAGACTAAAGAATGAATACCATTCATCACAACGTAATTGTATCAGTTGCCAGTAAGATAGGCTATATAATCGAGGTAGCACAGATGCGTAGTACTTAATTGTTAGGGGAAAATAACTCTAACCTCATTGTTGTGACCGCACTTCTTCTTGCGACAGTTGGTAGACCTGAGGGGAAGCCGAGCATAGCACCTGAAAAGAAGAAAAAAAGTGAAAAAGCTAGGCAATGTTGGCACACAATGACACAACACTGTAACTCATGGCAATAATAAGACTTGAGGAAATAGCACATAGTTACAGAAGAGGCTGATGACTAGACAAACTAAATTAGCAAGACAGGAAGCACACATGTTAAATTGACAAACTAAAAAGAACGACCTGCCAAATCACATAAGCAAGGCAGCTATGAACTAAATGCCTGTCATGCATCGACCTCTGTTTCACTTTCACAATGCATATACATTGCAGTTATAAAGTAGCTTAGCTCAATGTAAATCACACAATTTGAACAAGCAGCATAGAAGCACAAGAAGAACCAGTACACATGCTGACATGCATAGTCAATCGAACGTAGTAAGCAGCAAATTATGCAATGTATGCATGGCGAATTAGGGACATGCGTGCGTACTTCCCGTTCGTTGCAGTTACAAAAGTGGCTTGGCTCAATGTATACCACACAAACAAGCAGCATAAAAGCACAAGAAGAACCAGCACACACACATGCAGCATAACCAATCTAAAGTACTAGAAGTCTAGATGTAAGCAACAAATTATGCAATTATTGATATATATGCATGGTGAATTAGGGACGTGGGTGCGTACCTGCGGCAGATCAGCTTGTTCTCCTTGTACTTGCGCGCGAGCACGAGGAGGTTGGGTGGGATGTTGAATTTGAAGCTCTTGCTGCCGCCGCGGAGGCGGAGCACCAGGTGAAGGGTGGACTCCTTCTGGATGTTGTAGTCGGCCAGGGTGCGGCCATCCTCCAGCTGCTTTCCGGCGAAGATGAGACGCTGCTGGTCCGGCGGGACGCCTGCAATGATTGAGCCAAAGCAAAGCCAACAAAACACTGACGGTTACTTCAATTTCAATTAATTAATCCCAACACAGACGATGCCATGCACATGCACAATTTGCACAGAACCAGAGGCACAATTTGCACACGATCCGAACTGGATGATGAAATTGAACCAGGGAAATGATCCAAAACAGGGAATTTCTATAGCAGATTCAGTTCAATTCTATATCTAGTAGCCAAACAAGAAAACTAGAAAAGGGTAATCAGTCCTACCACCTCCAACTCCTTCCAAGAAACAAAGAAAAAAGCGAGTTCAAGTGTTCAACACACTGCACTTAAACAGGATGGAAAGAAAGTTTTGATTCAGTTCATCAAGAGGAACCTCGTCGATCTGTTCTGTTTTTCTATCAGATTATCAACGACGCAGAAAAATGGGGGATCCGACGATACCACATATCTAGATGCTTAGATTACTGAACTTTCTCCCAAAACCCGCATAGGCGTAGAGGCTTAGTTGGGGTTTTAGGTCCTTCAAACAAGCGTCAAGCGATCTAGTAGTACACATGGACAGTCCTTAAAAAGATTCAGTTCGACTGTCTAGCGACTTGCAAAGAAAGCAATACATCGATCGAACTTATCTTGACACCGCTCAAGAAACCAAAATAACAAGCTAAATCCAACCCTATCCTTTACCCAACAGATCAAAAGAGAGCTGTGGTTTTTGGCTTCAAAATAAAGGCCAGCCATCCAGGTCCACTGCGGATGTTTCAGATCGAGAAGATGAACGGCAGTAACACGGGGGATTGGATGGGATTGGATGAAGATGAACACGACTCTCTCTCTAAAAAGGCTAAAACCCGCATGTGTGCAGAGAAAAAAGGCAGGGGTTTTAGCTCCTCGAAACAATCGATCGAACACACATGGTCAGACCAGGACGAAAACGCAACAACAAATTACACGAGCAAACAAGCAAATGGATGGTACGGCGGCCGGAGAGCATAGCGGACGGAGGCGACCGAGAAGGTGGTCGGAGACGGCGCGCACCTTCCTTGTCCTGGATCTTGGCCTTGACGTGGCCGATGGTGTCGCTGCTCTCGACCTCGAGCGTGATCGTCTTCCCCGTCAGCGTCTTGACGAAGATCTGCATCTCGACTCGCCTTCTTGGGATAGCTCGCTCGCCGGTGGGAGTGGGTGGTGCCGTGGTGGTGTGGTGAACTGGTGAAGGAGCCGAGGCGAGGAAAGCACCGCCGCGGACGCGGGCTGGTTATATAGGGAGGCAGTGCAGGGGAGGAAACGCGGCCGCTACGGAAACCCCAAGAACCCCAAAAGCAGGCAGAAGCAGGGTTCCTTGCACCCGGTCCACTCGGCTCTAGACAGCGCGGTCGCACGGCGTAGCACCGCGCCGGCATGGGACTGCCAGCACACAGCGTGGCCTCGCGGGAGGGACGGGAGGTACGGGACGGGAGCGAGTGGGTGGTACACTGACACCCCCGCGGAACGGAACGGGGTCATGAGTTTCGCTGGTGTTGGGCTGGGCCGAGACCGGAGAGATTAGAGCCTTTGATGTTTGTGAAGAGAAACCAAGGGCCCATGGGCCGTGGACTTGCTGTTTTACAGTCCTTGTCGCGCTGATTAGTGATTTTTCTTCAGTAATCTTTAAATGCTGTGGTAGGTAGATCACTTTCACTTGGGGGCAAATCTATGGAGTCCAGACAGATCCAAACCAGAGCCATAGAACAGGTTACAGAGAGGGCAGAGCAGCGATAGAACAAGTTACTGAGAGAGGGCAGAGAAAGTCACGGAATCGTCCAGGGAGTGTTCCGATGCAGCAGTTCCTCTCATGGGGTCGAGCAAGAGAAGCATGAGAACCAGATGAAGCAGGCACCGACATACAGCAGTACTGGACGAGATGACAGGCTGACGGCCTATCGCCAGCTGGAAAAATTTCCAGCGATCACCTGTGCTTTAGCTATTCCGCAAGCAAAAAAAGCTGATCTGCTGCATCCTATGAACGCATCGAACTCGGACTAAAGATAACAGCACATTGAAAATTGCGCAGAGGGTCATGAATGAGAACCATACCGGCTTTTGTTGAAAAAAAAAAGAACCATACCGGCTTTCTTTATTCAAACATGGCCGATTATTCAGTGCCGCGGCAAGAGAAGTCAGGCACAACCGCACAAGAAATACAAACACACGCCCAACAGGAATCCCCAACTCTATCAATACATCGCAGATGGTCAAGATATATATGCCTGGAGTCTAAACAGCTGAGCACAATACACGGTGGTACAAGCCAAAATTTCCTGAAGCGAAGGGGTACACAACAGATGCCGCACGGTCTCACTTCTGCATATGGGTTTACATGCTTCAGCAAGGGCAAACGAATTACGAACTTGTAAAAGAGACCAGAAGCTGACCATGCACCCAAGTTACAACCCCAGCTCCGAGAGGAGATTGCGCCACCTTGGCGTCTCCTCATCGAATATGTAGGTCAGCTTTGTTACCAAGACTCCACTGCCACCAACCTGCAGTTCCGAGTCGACAGATAATATTAGTATTGCACGCACCATTAACATCAAGAATCATTCAGTCTCAGAAAAGATAATTATATACATAGGTACTAATAATAGGTTCTGATAGGAGCTCCAACAAGTTCCTTTGGTAGTTAGTCGAGAATAATCATCTTTTTCAATCATGTCATTACACTATGGCAATTTTTTGTGTGTTAACAAAAGAAAGGATGAAGCAAGAGTCGTACTGATCTCAGTTGTTGGATAGATTTGTAAAGCAACTTCTGTGGAACAACCACATTAATGGCGTAGTATTCCACGTCAACTTTTCCATCACGTCTGCAATAGACAGGACTTATAGTCGGGCCCTGTTCACATCAACATTGAGTAAATGAAATCATTAGCAAAGCCAGAAATATAAGAATCCAACCTTGATATTTCAAACTACTGCAATTACAATTATAGGCAATAAAAGGAGACTTGAAAGGATGGAATATACCCAAAGGCTTAGCCTTAGATAGGAGTGCTTGGAAAACAGCTATTCACGTGCCTGAACCTTGATTGCTTCTGCTGGGTTTCAACTCTAGCCTACCCAAGTTTGGGACTTAAGGCTTTGTTGTTGTTGTTGTTGTTGTTGTTGATGATGATTAGTTTCACTACAATTAGGAGGCACTAGTCTCACTCTAATGACCCAGAAGTTCCCTCATCAAGGAAGAAGAAAAAGAACCAAATATTATAATCCCTTATTCAGTGGGGGAAACTTAAATGATGCAGAATAATTAGATTTGCTTCATGTGTATATTGAAGCTGCTACAGTTTTATAATGATTCCAACTATATTTTGGTCACAGATATAGGCACTATAGGGCCTATACATGATATATGGTGAATGCAACTCAATTTCCTAACATAAAACAATCATTTTACCCCAAAACTACACATAATATATTGACAGTTCTACGAAAATTATGGTTATTGCTAGTTTTAATTTTCCTAATTATTACCTGCAATCCACAAATTGATGTTTGGCTAAGAACTCTCTCTGCCACTTCTTCTGCGCTGTTTCCCCTCATGTTTGCGGTGACCTAATATAAAAATAGGAAGTACAATAACTCTGTTCCAACCAGTATAATCATGCATACATGAGTTATATGAAGACTTACCATCAACTCTGCAGTTGCTCTTAGGTGAGCTTCTAGTCTTTCAAGCAACTCATGAGTAACCTCCAACACACCTTTACGCTTGTGCAGAGATTTCCTACTTGCTACAAGAGTGGCCTGCATAGAATTTGATATCTCAGGAAATAAGAAAGGGATAATCTTTCCTCTTTGACAAAGGACCGTCAACTGCGAAATATTGCCTACTGAAGAGTGTGTGCCCAAAACATGCATGTGTGAGAGAGAGAAAGTTTACCTGGCTTTCCAAAACTACTCCACCATCAATTTCCTTTAGGTTATTCTCACGCAAGGTCGTTCCGCTACTCACGAGATCCACAATAGCATCAGCCATACCCATCTTCACAGGGGAAAGGAAATTAGCAACATGTGTTAACCTTGATAACCTCTTTACACAACTCGCAAGCTAGTAAAAAGTGACACTAGTGTGCATTCCAGTAGTACCTTGCAATAGTAAACGAACGAATCGATCCATGTGAAGGGTTAAAGTTCAGACACCCGTAATCTACGTCAGTCATATATTACCCATACAGAATTCATACCAGCCATCATAACTACTAGAGCAAGAACATAAACAAGTATAGCAGAGTCAATAGTACAAATAATTCTATGTGGCGTACTGATTTCTGGATAGAGCAATGTCTAACATGTGTTAACACAAATAGTTACCATTTAGATTCTCATAAGATCTAAATTTAAGTACTATTGGGCAACAGAAAAGAGCAACCAACTATTGGGCCAATCAAATTCAAAATAAATACATGGAAGCAAATGCAAAAAAGTAAGGCAAAGGGGGGAATCGCAAGGAAACAAAAGGAAATCAAATGAAGAGAAAGCAGACTCACGGGAGGATATGACTCAAGAGCTCCATCGGCAGATAAAAAGTGAACATGCTTAAAACCTTTCTCTCTTAAGAACTTATCGCCTAGCTGCAGCATAATAATATAACTGGGGTGAATAATCAGCAAAGCAGTGTGTGTGTGTGTGGTTGTGGTGGACTGGTGGGGCATGGGTGGGTGGAGGTGGGGAGGAATTAGACTGCTTGGGTTTGGATCATACATATCCAAATCCTGTAACAACACGTAGTGGCCTTTCTTCTGTCCATTCAGGCATCTTTAACAAATCTTCCAAAGTAATTATGTTCTCAAAAATGCCTTCCTTAGGTACCTGGTCACACAAGTTGACTGTTTCAGATATAAATTTCAATTTAAAATAACAAGACTACTACCCATAAATGCGCCTGGATAACAACATACCGCAAGGGACAAACGACAATGTCCAAAGTCAAGAGCGTCATGAACAACCACTAAATCCTCAGTGCCCTGCCACATAAAATTTTAAGTACAAACATTGGTCAGATAAAGGTTTCTTCAAAGCAGAATAAATTTCACATAAAAGAATATTGCGAACTCAATTAGCAGAAATTCATGTTTTATAATATATAAGTCCAGAACCACATGTGTGCACAAACCAGGGAGGCATTAGTCTAAGGACAAGATAATGAGAAATAATCAAGTGCATGCTGAAAACATTTTTTTACCTCTTTGACAGCATTATATAGAACTCCGCCTATGTTGTCTCAACATAGCAGGTCCCAAGCCCTGGTAAAGGAGGAGGGTTGTGATAGGCGTGGCGAGCCAACGTTAAACCTAGCCATTCTAATGGAGATGAAACCCGAAAGAAAACAGTTGAGACGTAACCCTCTTAGCGACGCGCCATATCGGAACCCGGGTATGGTGTTAAATGAGCAAGGGCCGGGTCGTCACCCCCGTGACGCGCCGTGTCGCGATCTGGGCACGGTGTCAAGTGAGCAAGGATCGGGTCGTCGCATCCTTAGTGGCGCGCTACATCGGCGCCCAGGTGTAGTGAAAAATGAGCAAGGGTCTTCACATCTGAGTCGACGGGTGCGAAGGGTAAGGAAGCTAGTCAAACCAACTAGGATCCGTTTAGATAGTTGGAATGTAGGGTCGCTTACAGGTAAGTTAAGAGAATTAGTTGATACCGCGACTAGGAGGCGTGTAAATATATTATGCGTTCAAGAGACTAAATGGAAGGGTCAGAAAGCGAAGGAGATGGACAATACAGGTTTCAAGCTTTGGTACACAGGGACAGTCGTGAATAGAAATAGAGTAGGAGTTTTGATTGATAAGAACCTCAAGAATAGTGTGGTGGGAGTGAGAAGGCAAGGAGATAGAATTATCTTAGTTAAGCTTGTCATTGGTGATATGGTCTTGAACGTAATTAGTGCGTATGCCCCCCAAGTAGGCCTCGACGAGAGTGCTAAGAGACAGTTCTGGGACGACTTAGATGGCCTGATCAGAGCTGTACCTAGTAGCGAGAAGCTTTTTATAGGAGGAGATCTTAATGGGCATGTATGTACTATAAACGCAGGTTTCGAGGCAGTTCATGGAGGTTTCGGTATGGTAGTAGGAATCAGGAGGGGGAGGAAGTTCTGGACTTTGTGGTAGCTTTTGACCTGATGATAGCCAACACTTTCTTTAGAAAGAGAGAATCTCATCTAGTGACCTTCAGTAGCGGATAACACTATAGCCAGATTGACTTTGTCCTCGCAAGAAGAAAGGACAAATGAGCATGCTTGGATTGCAAGGTGATACCAGGGGAGCGTGTTGTTTCTCAACATAAACTTTTGGTGGCAGACTTTCGTTTTCAGGTGCGTGCCCGTAGGAATAAACAAGCTAAGATTGAAAGAACAAAGTAGTGAAAACTGAAAGGGGAGACGTCAGAAGTATTCAAGAAAAGGGTTATCAAAAAGGGCTCTTGGAAAGAAGAAGAGGACATAAACAACATGTGGGAGAAGATGGCAACCAACATTCGGAAGGTGGCCTCAGAGGTGTGGAGTAACCAAAGGAAGTGGAGGCGAGGCTAAAGATACTTGGTGGTGGAACGAGGAAGTCCAAAGGGCTATTAAGGAGAAGAAAGAATGTTATAGACGCTTATACCATGACAGGGATGTGGACAATATAGAGAAGTACAAGGTGGCAAAGAAGACTGCAAAGCGAGCTGTAAGTGTGGCAAAGGGTAGAGCGTACGAGGATCTTTACCAACATTTGGGTACAAAGGAAGGAGAGAAGGACATTTATAGGATGACTAGGGGTCGTGAGAGAAAGACAAGGTACTTCAACCAAGTTAAGTGCATTAAGGATGAAAGGGAGCATCCCTTGGTGAAGGAGGATGAGATCCGACATCGATGGCAAGAGTATTTTGATAAATTGTTCAATGGTGATAATACGGACACAACCTTTCAGTTGGATGACTCTTTTGATGACACTAATAGGCGCTTTGTGCGGAGAATCCAAGAATCTGAGGTCAGAAAGGCGTTGAAAAGGATGAAAGGAGGTAAGGCGATGGGACCGGATGGTATCCCAATCGAGGTGTGGAGATGCCTCGGTGATATAGCTATAGTATGGGTAACCAAGCTGTTCAACCTTATTTTTAGATCGAATAAGATGCTTGACGAGTGAAGAAGTATATTGGTACCGATCTACAAGAATAAAGGGGATATTCAAAGTTGTAATAATTATCGGGGAATTAAGTTGATGAGCCATATTATGAAGCTACGAGAGAGAGTTATCGAACATCGCTTGAGAGCAATAACACGGGTCTCTATGAACCAATTTGGTTTCATGCCCGGAAAGTCAACAATGAAAGCCATTTTCTTAATAAGACAAGTTATGGAGCGGTATAGGGAGAAGAAGAAGGACCTACACATGGTTTTTATCGACTTGGAGAAGGCTTATGATAAAATACTATGGAATGTTATGTGGTGGGCTTTGGACAAACATAAAGTCCCAACGAAGTACGTCAAGTTCATTAAGGACATGTACAACAATGTTGTGACTAGTGTTCGAACAAGTGATGGAGACACGGATGACTTCCCGATTAGGATAGGACTACATCAAGGGTCAGCTTTGAGCCCTTATCTGTTTGCCTTAGTGATGGATGAGGTCACAAGAGACATACAAGGGGACATCCCTTGCTGTATGCTTTTCGCGGACGATGTAGTGCTAGTTGATGAAAGTCGGACATGAGTGAATCAGAAACTGGAGTTATGGCGGGAGATTTTGGAGTCCAAAGGTTTTAGACTCAGTAGAACTAAAACTGATTATATGAGATATGACTTCGGCACTACTAATCGGGAGGAGGAAGATATTAGTTTGGAAGGTCAAGTAGTGCCTAGGAAGGATAACTTTCGATATTTAGGATCAATGCTACAAAGAGACGGGGATATTGATGAAGATGTTAGCCATAGAATCAAAGCAGGGTGGATAAAGTGGCGCTAAGCATCTGGTGTTCTATGTGGCAAAAGGGTACCCCAGAAGCTAAAAGGCAAGTTCTATAGGACGGCGATTAGACCTGCTATATTGTATGGTGCAAAATATTGGCCTACGAAGAGACGACATGTTCAACAGATAAGTGTCGTGAAAATGCGTATGTTGCGTTGGATTTGCGGCCATACAAGAAGGGATCGAGTTCGAAACGATGATATACGTGGTAGATTAGGGATAGCACCAATTGAAGAAAAGCTTGTCCAACACCGGTTGAGATGGTTTGGACATGTCCAACGGAGACCTCCAGAGGCACCGGTGCGTAGTGGAATCCTAAGCCAGGATAGTAACGTGAAGAGAGGCAGAGTAAGACCGAAGTTGACTTTGATAGAGGCAATAAAAGGAGACTTGAAAGGATGGAATATACCCAAAGAATTAGCCTTAGATAGGAGTGCTTGGAAAACAGCTATTCACGTGTCTGAACCTTGATTGCTTCTGCTGGGTTTCAACTCTAGCCTACCCCAACTTGTTTGGGACTTAAAGGCTTTGTTGTTGTTGTTGTTGTTGTTTGACAGCATTATATAGGGTATGAAGTGCAGATTGCAATAATTACACACTTATTTTCATCCCAGGACTAATATGTTGGCGTAAATCACCAGATCACAGGTAATTCGGCAAAAGTAGAACTGGGGCTGCCAGAGGGCAGCTTGGCCAACAGGCCGCTTGAATTGTATTGAATTGCAATAACAACTTGGATAAAAAAGATGCTAACCACTGCATATATAAGCAAGTGGTGTACCTACTCCTTAGCATATTCTAACTACATAAAGCAGATGCTATGATTCCTACTTGGTTGGCAAGGCACCATGATGAACTTGGTTGTCAAGGAACCTGAAAAATTACATGACAGTGAATAGTAAATAGCTATAGTAGGTAACTGGAAAACATGAACACTAGGCTAACTACTGACAATTCTCTCCTTTAGCCTTGTGATCCTTGGAAGTGATCTGCTTGAGCCCAATTCTTCCCCTCATCTCTTCAAATTTTGATCTTCCAAGAGACTTGGTTAGAATGTCGACCACCGATCGGTGGTGGATATGTGATCACCTTGATACTTCCATCTTCCAAGCGCTTCGATGAAGTGATACTTGATTCTCGATGTGCTTCTGCGCTCATGAAAGATGGATTCTTGGCTAGAGCAAGTGCGGACTTGCTATCAACTTTTAGTTCAACCACTTCCACATTCCTTCCAAGGAGGTCTCGCCACTGACTGGATAGCCAAATAGCTTGTGTTGCAAATGTGGTAGTGGCAATGTACTCAACTTCACAACTAGATAGAGCCACCACCTTCTTTCCTTGTTGCCAGACACAAGATTGCTTCCCAAGAAAGAATAGGGTGCCACTAGTGCTCTTCTTTGGTGTCAATGTCCCCACCAAGTCACTTGTCATGATGCCAACAAACCTTGCTCTCCCTGGAGCCTTAGTGTAGTGCAGGCCAAACACCAAAGTACCAGCCACATATCTCAGGATGCGCTTGATGGCAGCTTGGTGTTCTGCAGTCGGCCTCTCCATGAATCGACTGACAAAGCCTACTGAGAAGGCTAAGTAAAGTCTTGTGTGGACCAAGTAGCGCAAGCTGCCTACCAATCTTCTGTATTGGGTGGGATCAACTTCTGCAGCCGTGCTCTGCCTGCTCAACCTCAGCCGCTCCTCCATTGGTGTATGGGTAGGGTTGCAGGCATCCATACCTCCTAGCTCAAGGATCCTCTTGGCATAATGGGTTTGCCTCAGAGTGATCCCAGCTGGATCTTGGTGTACTTCGACCCCCAAGTAGAAGGACAGGAGGCCGAGGTCGCTCATGTCGAAAACCTTCTTCATCTGAGCCTTGAAACCTTCTATGGCTTGAGCGCTGGCACCGGTGATGATCAAGTCGTCAACATAGACGCCGATCAGCAGCAGCTCCTCCCCTGTTCCTCGCCTGTACATCACAGCTTCATGGCCGCTTTGCTGGAAACCCATCTCCTTGAGGGTGGCGTCCAGCTTGGCGTTCCAAGCTCGCGGAGCCTGCCGTAGGCCATACAAAGCCTTGCGCTGACGGTACACCAACTTCTCCTTCCCGACGATGGTGAAACCAGGCGGCTGCTTCACGTACACCTCCTCCTTGAGGTCGCCGTTGAGGAAGGCCGATTTGACGTCCATGTGGTGGACGCGCCATCCTTCTTGAGCCGCCAGCGCGAGGACTCGGACGGATTCCATGCGCGCCACGGGAGCAAACGTGTCGTCGAAGTCGATCCCTTCCTGCTGGACGAAACCCCGCGCCACCAAGCGTGCCTTGTACTTGGTCACCGCGCCCCGCTCGTCCTTCTTGAGCTTGTAGACCCACTTCAAAGTGATGGGCCGGTGACCGGGAGGAAGCTCCACAAGCTCCCACGTGCGGTTCTGCTCAACCGCCTTGATCTCCTGCTCCATGGCGGCCTGCCAGGCAGGATCGCCTTCAGCCTCCGCGAAGTTGGCCGACTCGCCGGCGTGCGTGAGGTGAAGCTCGGCGAAGAGACGTGAAGCCGGCGGCGGTGTGGCGCGCGTCCCGACGATGTTGGGCATGGTGCGGTACCACAACCGCCGCCGCCGTCGTAAAAGCGTCAAAGCGATCGTCGCCGTCCTCGGCGGTGTGCGCGAACTCAACTGGTCCGCTTTGCTTTCGGTCTCCGCTGCTTTGGTGAAGCGAGAGGAGGCCGTGGATCGTGCTCCCCGAGGCGGTGACGGCGTCTTGTGGGCGGAGAGCTCCGTCTGCGTCGACTCCCAAGAACTCGATGTCGAAGTCGGCCGGGCGAAGCGAGCGTCCGGCGGCCGAGTGGACCAATCCCAGCCGCGCCCTTCATCAAACACCACGTCGCGGCTCACCTTGACGCGTCCTGTCGCCGGATCGAGGACCCGATAGGCCTTGGCGCCCTCGGCGTAGCCGATGAAGACCCCAGCCTTGCCGCGGTCGTCGAGCTTGCGCATGATGCCGAAACTCCTTGTGTAGCGGCGACGCAATTGTCTGTGAGATAGCTTCGCCGCCGGCCGTCCGTCTTGAGGCCTCATAGGGGGTCTTGCCTTGCAAGCTTCTTGTCGGCGCGCGGTTGAGTAGATGCATCACCGTCATCACCGCCTCCCCCCAGAATTTGGCCGGCATGGACCTCTGCTTCAGGAGCGCGCGTGCGGTCGCCACGACCGTCTGATTGCGCAGCTCCACCACACCGTTCTGCTGCGGTAAGTGTGGTGCAGAGTAGTGCCGCTTGACTCCTTCGGCGCGGCAATCTGCGCCCACTTCGCCGACGGTGAACTATCCTCCATTGTCAGTCCGCAGCACCTTGAGCTCACGGCCGGTCTCCTTCTCTGCTTCGGCCTTCACCCACTTCACGGCATCCGCAGCAGCATCCTTGGTTGGCAGAAGCACCGCTCACATGAAGCGGGTGGCGTCGTCCACCATCAGCAAGAAGTAGCGGCGTCCTCCTGGCGTCGCCGGCGTCACCGGCCCGCACAAGTCGCCGTGGACGAGGTCCAGGCGCTGCCAGCATCTGCTGCTTTCTTCGCGAAACGGCTTGCGGCGGAGCTTGGTGGCGGCAGCAGTGTCGCAGACTTGCTCGCGTGCTTAATCACCGCATCCCCTCACCATCTCCCTCGCTTGCCGAGCCGGTGCGGCGCCTCGGCCGAGATGCCCGTGGCGCTCATGCCACCTCCATGACTCGCCCTCCTTCCCCGGCGGCAAGACACAAGTCACGCGACCTCCAAGTCACGGATGATGTACAACCGATCGGGCCCGATGTACCTTGGCGAGAAGACGACCACGCCCGGTCCCGGATCACGGAGCACTCCATGTTCAATCTCCACCACAGGAGCTCCTTCGTCGAGCCCCCAAACTCATAATCGAGTTCCGGATGCTGAATGTAGAAGACGCCATGGAGGACGCTGCTCTCCCGTTCTTGGCTCGGAAGACGATGGAGCCGGTCCCCTTGATCTCCACTCGAGACGAGTCGCCCGAAAGCACTGCCGTCTGCATGTGGCAAGTGGTGTCGAGCTTCGGCGAAGAGCTCCGTGGCCGGTCATGTGATCGCGTGGCCCCATTGTCGAGGTACCGGCCGTCGAGCGCCTCCTCGTTGGTTGGCCGGTGTGTGAGGAAGACGCGCGTGTGGCTCGTTGATGTCGAGGAAAGCCGTGGCCTTGGAGCAGGTCCTGGTACTCGATCGCGTCCCAGAGTTGCCGCGCTTGGAGCTTCAGCTTCACGATCGAGGCCCACTCATGGTAATTTGACTTGGTGAGCATCGGCCAGGTGGAGCTCGAGCCAAAATCCTTGTATCTGATGCGGATCACCGGCGGCGGCCCTGGCCCGTCATGGCGATCCCGATCCCGATCGGCGGATCAAGCGTCTGCACTGCGCTCGCTCCGGGCTCCTCCGCGAAGCGGCAGCAGCGATCGCGCGGCAGATCCTCCTCCACCAACTCTCGACGCAGAGCCGCGGCGTGGCGGCGCGTTCAAGCTGCTTCTTCTGCTGCGGCCTTGACTTTTTTTGCGCTGTGCACTCTGACCTCTGCCGCATGACGAACAAGACGCCGCATTGCTTTCGGCGGCGGCGGCGGCTTCTTCTTTCTCTGCGGAGGTGGCCATGCCTCTCCTTTTCTCTCAACACAGAGCTCTGGTACCAATTGTTGGCGTGATCACCGGATCACGAGTAATTCGGCAAAAAAGTAGAACTGGAATCCAGAGGGCGACTTATTAACAGCCGCTTGGATTGTATTGAATTGCAATAACAACTTGGATACAAAAAGATACTAACCACTGCATATATAAGCAAGTGGTGTACCTACTCCTTAGCATATTCTAACTGCATAAAGCAGATGCTATGATTCCTCCTTGGTTGCCAAGGCACCATGATCAACTTGGTTGCCAAGGAACCTAAAAAATTACATGACAGCGAATAGTAAATAGCTATAGTAGGTAACTGGAAAACATGAACACTAGGCTAACTACTGACATAATATTGTGTGGTGACCGGTGACTCTTGAGTAAAAGGACTTATGGTGTGTTAATACATACAACTGAAACATCTAAGACTAAACGCGTGTACAAACAGAGCAAAAAAATGATAAGCAGCTCTCCTGCGTGTTCGAGAAACAAAAAAAATAACAGGATTGCTCAAAAGCTTACCTCCCCGTATTCACTAACTATGTCAAAACCCACAATACCAAGGTCAAGATCGCCTGACTGAAGTTTACGAACAATGTCCTTAGGCCTTTGGAACCAAACCTCCAAATTTGGAATCTGGAAAGGATAAAAAGATATCAGCGCGTTGCATAAACTCAGCAAGAATTCTATTGAAACTATCAATCACTCCATCCACATAATGTGTCAGACCAGCTATCCACACATAGAAACCGAATAAGGAGGTATAAAGTTGAAGTGAAGGGAAAGAAAGTAAGCTTCCAATGCTACCAGCATACCACTACTTAAATGAGATTATACCGAACATGGCACTTCTTATCTCTGAACTTAAAATCGGAGGAAAAAAAAAACAGGGACTATACCAATGGTTTAGCCAATGGACAAATATTGTCAAATGATGTTACATAATAAGGCTGACATGCTATGAATGAGGGCGAGCATATAACTTTAACATGGATGCCTGGACTGTTAGAGAACCACATTAACCAGAAGGCAAAACAGAAAAGACAAGGACCCAGGTTGTGCCGTTCAACATTGATTAGATTTAGGCAGATATAATGATTCCACATTGGATATTAATTAATTTAAAGATACAAAGCCTGAATACATACAGGCATACAGCTACAAATCAGATGTTTGGGTTCATCACTGTTGCGTACAGGTCATGCTCTGCAGGTAATAGGGTGTGCTAGTTTTGCTTCCAGCAGGGCTTTAATGATGCAAACAGGGATGTGAGAGTGATCTAGTAGAGATTTCATTAGCCAAGAAAGCCTTCTTAATTCTTGAATCTAGAAGATTACTCGAAAATGCTAAGGACCCAGTTGGACTCAAATTTATTGACTACTTGCAACTTATGGAAAAGCATGTTCTGCTATGGAAAAGCATGTTCCGCCTGTGACCAGAAGGTCCCGGGTTTGAGTCGCGGTCTCCTCGCATTGCACATGCGAGGGTAAGGCTTGCCACTGACACCCTTCCCCAGACCCCGCACAGAGCGGGAGCTCTTTGCACTGGGTACGCCCTTTTTTTTGTAACTTATGGAAAAGCATGTTCTGTAGTTTACATGGTTCTGCTATGCAATATTATGAATCGCATAATTAGCCTCAGATAGTGAAGGGTCAATAGGCACCATGAAACATCTACTTGGCATTGCTCCAACCAAACATCAAGAAGGCCTTGCATGTAACCATCAGAATTATAGTGGCCATTTCCCACTAGCTAAACCTAAGTGTTAAGCTTACCTTACAGTACAAACAAACCAAGGGAGTAGAAAGTTACCCTTAAAACTCTTAAAATCCTTTCCTACCAGTGAATCAAGAACCCTAGCTAAACCTAAGTGTTAAGCTTGCCTTACAGTACAAACAAACCTAGGGAGTAGAAAGTTACACTACACTCTTAAAAATCATGTTCTGCAGTTTACATGGTTCTGCTATGCAATATTATGAATCACATAATTAGCCTCAAATAGAGATAGTGAAGGGTCAAAAGGCACCATGAAAATCTACTTGGCATTGCTCTAACCAAACATCGAGAAGGCCTTGCATGTAACCATCAGAATTATAGTGGTCATTTCCCACTAGCTAAACCTAAGTGCTAAGCTTACCTTACTGTACAAACAAACCAAGGGAGTAGAAAGTTACACTTAAAACTCTTAAAATCCTTATCCTACCAGTGAACCAGGAACCAAAGGCTTACTGATTCAAAACCTACTAACAGCAATTAGTTGCCTCCCTGTCAAATTTGACAGAAGGTAATTAAATCAGAGAGATGAGAGAACATAGTAAACCTCACCAGCGGGATATCTGCAGTGTACTGCCGTGGGTTGAGCTGCCTCACCGACAATTGGCAACTCTGCATCATCAAGCACAAAGAGCACAACCATAACCAAATCAGCATACCAATCATGCAATTCAAACTTTCGAACCCAGCAACGGAAGCACCGATCGGAAAGGAGCGCCAAACCTTGAGGAGGTTTAGGGTTTGCTCGGCCATGCGGCCCTTGCTGGGAAGCCCGATACGGACGACCTTGCGGTCCGCAACCAGGGGAGACGAAGCCGCCGCCGGTTTAGCGGATACGGCGGTCGCAGAGGCTGCTGCCACCGGAGCGACAGAGCGGGCCCTCGCCGCCGGCAAGGGGAGGAGGCCAAGGCGGAAGCTCGCCTGTGGCGAAGGTGACTGGGATAGAGAGAGAACCGTAAACTGCGCCGTCAACATCGCCGGCATTTTGTGGGGTTGGTGGGTGGGCGGGCGGCTGCAGTGCGCCTTGCTGGCGTTATTCAGTGGAGTGAGGGGGAGGCTGGCGGCGGTGTTCGGCGGCGACAGAGCAGGTGAAGCGAACAGCATGAACATGCGGCGCCACGAGGCTTTGGATACTAGTGCGGGTTCGGACCCACTTGGGGCCGATCGCGGGCCGACATGGTGAACCCAGAGGCCCAAAACAATTAGAACTAACATTTACTAACATTCCTTTTTTTTACAGACGACGGATTCCAATATTCCATCCATCCAATTATATGTTGCTAAAAAAAATCCATCCACTTATATATAAATATATATACATATACAGTAATAAATAAAAGAAAAAAGTCATATTTGTGGTCATCCCACCGCGGGAGTTAAAAAATATCCCACCAAACACCCCACAATATCGATGGTTCTTTTCACCGCGCAAGAAATAGAAACCATGAGATTTAAGTTGACTAGAGGCCGCAGTCGCGATATTAGGAGTTGTTTTCGAGGTGGTTTCCTCATTTTTGACTAAAAATATATAGTAAACACTTAATAAAGTTTTAGAGCCATGAAAAATATGCACAAAAATCTTAAATTTACATAAAAGATCCTATAGATAGATTAGGACACAAGAAACCTAATAAAATATTTAGAGCCCATGAAAATATATCCAGAAGCTTTCTAAAATTAGATAGCTCTAGGGGAATGGGAAAATATTCAGGAAAATTTGAAAAATTCCCAAACCATTATAATCAATGTATGAATGGTTTTTTTTTTAAAAAACTTTCCGCAACAAAACTATAAGATACAACCAGCATGAGTACAATATACATTATTGTTAAATCCATCCATGCTAGTTGTATCCTATATTTTGTAATGTAAAGTTTCTAAAATGCATTTAGACATTGATTAGAGTCTTTTTGTCATTCTACCATATGTATTGGATGTTTTTCCCATTCTACTAGAGCGTCTAAAAGTTTTTAGACATATTTTCATGAACTCTAAATATTTTTATTTTGGTTTCTCATGTCCCAACACATATTTATTTTTTATTGGAAATTTTAGAAGCTTAGATATATTTTCCATGGTTTTAACACTTTATCATGTGTTTCTATATTTTAAATTAAAAGATAATGAAACCACTTTCAAAAATCACTTCTAACTGGGAAGGGAAAGGGAGATAATTTAAATGGTCTTGAGAGTTGAGAAAGACAATTTATCCGATTTTGGAGTTTGAGGAAGAAACATGGACTCCAGCGATTAGTTTATGAGGCATAAAATGACTTTTTTAGAAAAAGTTATAACACAAGTTAAACTTTGATTGTTTGTGTCGGTGCAGAAAGTGACTAACACGTAAATATTTGTAGTTTTGTCGTACGTTGTGATCGGATGTGGCCTAGCACTCAATGACACAGGGTTTATACTGGTTCAGGCAACGTGCCCTACGTCCAGTTTGAGTCGGTCGGTGACTTTATTTCTGAGCCCAGGTGCTCGAAGTTTGCTGTGGGATTACAAACGAAAAGGGAGAAAAATGGGGGTGCAAGAGGTCCGGTCGGACTTCGATCTAAAGGGCCGAGAGTGACGAGGGCTCCGCTATGTGCTAAGTGTTCGAGCGTGCGCTCTATGTAGCTTTAGAGTGTCTAAAGCGACAGAGGGTGAATCAATGTAAGTGAACTGAGGGCCCTATCTGTTGGGAGAGAGCGCATCCCCTTTTATAGATGAAGGGGACAGCCTTATAAGCGAGCGACAGAGAGAGGGTACATATGCTACTAAGTCTTGTTGCCCACGCCGTCGGGTACAAGATGATGGTAGTGCCCATAACACTATTGTTGTTAGACGCATGTGGGAGGTTTTATCGTATTTACCAGGTATGGTAGATGACGGCGCCCACAACACTGTTGATGTCCAGAGGCATGTGGGGGAGCCTTACCGTGTTTGTCTGGTATGGAAGTTGATGGCACCCACAACACTGTAGGGCAAATGTCGATGTCCACAACACTGCTTGGGTTCTGGCATGCCCTGAAAGGTTGCAGGGCATCCTTCTGACATGTCCTATCGGTTACTGTCCTAGAGGTGTGTAGGGTACAGTCCTTGGTATCGTGGTCGAGTGCCCTGCTTTACTCGCTCCGTCCATTTCCTGGTCCTCACCGAGCGGGCGTCCACGGTCGGTTGGTTCCAGTCGGCTCTGACTGAGCTAGTCAGAGAAGAGCTGTAAGCAGGGGTTTGGTGCATCCTCGGTCGGAGATGCGGGTCAGAGTTGGAGTTGGTGTTTGGCCAGGCCTTCCGATCGGAGAGGCCGTCCGGAGGTGGGCCGGAGTCAGAAGCGAGCGATGTTCCTTCTTAGTGAGGCCTTCCGGTCAGAGAGAAGGGCCAGAGTCAGAAGCGAGGCCTTTCGGTCGGAGAGGCGAGCCAGAGTCAGAAGCAGGCACCGTTCCTCCTTGGCCAGGCCTTCCGGTCGAAAGCTGGTTCACCCTTCTATCCTGTTGTTAGGTTTTTGGGCCAGCCCAGGAGTTACGCATCGTTTGCAACGTTGTCTACTGGGCCGAGCCTTTGTTGGGAAGTCGGTCCATGAGGGACCCTGGGTTTATGAACCCGACAGGAGCCCCCGAGCCTCCGGACGATTCGGGTAGAATAGTCTGGGGGATTTTTGTCTTGATGGCGGGTGCGCGCGAGAGCACCTGTGGGTGTAGCCCCCGAGTCCCCGGACGATTCGGGTAGAATTGTCCGGGTTTTTTTTGCATTGCTAGCGGGGGGGAATTTTGTGTTTCGTCAGCAGGTGCGTGCGAGCGCACCCGCGGGTGTAGCCCCCGAGCCCCCTGGCGATTCGGGTAGAATCGCCTGGGGGTTTTTTGTCAGCAGACAGTTTAGGGATCAGGCAAGACAAAGTTCGTGGATCCTAGCGTCGGGCGCAACCGAGGCAGTTTAGGGATCGGGCGAGACGGAGTCGTGGATCCTGGCGTTGGACGTGCCGAGGCAGTTTAGGGATCGAGTGAGACGGAGTTCGTGGATCCTGACGTCAGGCGCAGCCGAGGTAGTTTAGGGATCGGGCGAGACGAAGTTCGTAGATCTTGGCGTCGGGCGCATGCGAGGCAGTTTTAGGAATCGAGTGAGACAGAGTCGCGGATCCTGGCGTCGGACATGCCAAGGCAGTTTAGGGATCGGGTGAGACGTAGTTCGCGGATCCTGGCTTCGGGCGTAGCCGAGGCAGTTTAGGGATCGGGCGAGATGGAGTTCATGGATCCTGGCATCGGGCGCAGCCGAAGCAGTTTAGGGATCGGGCGAGATGGAGTCGCAGATCCTGGTGTCGGATGTGCTGAGGCAGTTTAGGGATCGGACGAGACGGAGTTCATGGATCCTAGCATCGGGCGCAGCCGAGGCAGTTTAGGGATCGAGTGAGACGGAGTCGAGGATCCTGACGTCGGACGTGCCGAGGTAGTTTTAGGGATCGGGCGAGACGGAGTTCACGGATCCTGGCCTCGGGCGCAGCCGAGGTAGTTTTAGGGATCGGGCGAGATGGAGTTCACGGATCCTGGTGTCGGGCTCAGACGAGGTAGTTTAGGGATCAGGCGAGACGGAGTCGTGGATCTAGACGTCGGACGTGCCGAGGCAGTTTAGGGATCGGGTGAGACGAAGTTCGCGGATCCTGACATCTGGCGTAGCCAAGGCAGTTTAGGGATCGGGCGAGACGGACTTCGTGGATCTTGGCATCAGGCGCAGCTGAGGCAGTTTTAGGGATCGGGCGAGACGGAGTTCGTGGATCTTGGCGTCGGGCGCAGCCGAGGTAGTTTAGGGATCGGGCGAGATAGAGTCACGGATCCTGGCGTCAGACATGCCGAGGCAGTTTAGGGATCGGGCGAGACAAAGTTTGTGGATCCTGGCATCAAGCGCAGTCGAGGCAGTTTAGGGATCGGGCGAGATGGAGTCGTGGATCCTGGCGTCGGACATGCTGAGGTAGTTTTAGGGATCGGGTGAGACGGAGTTCGTGGATCCTAGCGTCGGGCACAGCCGAGGCAGTTTTAGGGATCGGGCAAGACGGAGCTCACGGATTTTGGCGTCGGGCGCAGCCAAGGCAGTTTAGGGATCGGGCGAGATGGAGTCATGGATCCCGGCATCAGACGTGTCGAGGCAGTTTTAGGGATCGGGCGAGATAAAGTTCATGGATCCTAGCATCGGGCGCAGCTGAGGCGTTGGGCATCTTGAGCCCCTAAGCCCTGTTGGGCTCGGAAGGGGTTGGTTGAGTTTCGTGCGTTACCCCATCGTTTCGAAGGGGCTAAGCTAACGTCGCTTGCCGCGATGGCTCGAGTGACGCGCTCGGTGAGCTCACAAGGGGCACGTTCGAGTGAAATCTAGGTCCGTTGTTCATGACGGGGTCGGCATAGCCCTCATGTGACATTCCATTGCTCCTTAACCTACAACCCGACAGATGCCTAGGTCGTTCCGAAGATCGACCCGGGTGGCCTGTTGGCCTCCCCTCGATGGAGATTCTATGGGACCTTCCCATGGTGGAGAGAGCTTATGTTTCTCCTTCGTTGATTGGGTCCTCCGGAGTATGAGATCACCGACTTCGAGGATCCTCCCCTTGATCTTCCTTTCGTGGTCCTGCGGAGAGTTTGCTGGTAGCGGGCGGAGTGGATGATTGTCGTCTCGCGAGCCTCCTCGAGCAAGTCAACTACGTCTTACTGAGCCTTCGCGGCTCGGTCATGGTCGAAAGCCTTCACTCTTGGGGCACCATGGTCGAGGTCGGAGGGCAGCACCGCTTCAGTTCCCTAGGCCAGGAAGAAGGGTGTGAACCCTGTGGATCGGTTCGGGGTCGTTCTCAGGCTCCAGAGGATCGCTGGGACCTCTACAACCCATCGCCCAGTGTACTTGTTGAGTCAGTCGAAGATGCATGGCTTAAGTCCTTGGAGGACCATGCCATTGACACGCTCGACCTGACCGTTAATACGTGGATGTCCGACCGAGGCCCAGTCGATCCTGATGTCGTATCCATCACT